CGAGCCTACCGACTATCCTTAAAATTCGATCCACTCGCCTGCCGTCACAGATTTTGCGGTATCTAGGAACTGTCACTATAACATTGACATCCAGATTTCAAGAGATTTGCAGAGGGATCACCTTCCAATTTTTTTGGTAGTGGGCTTGCAAGTGGCGGACGACGCTGACTGTGTTACTGTTCAAAGAATCAACTGGGAGATTTACAAGAACTGCCTCCCTGACTTCCCGATGGCCTCCATCGGATACTCGTTCAATAATCAAGAGTTGGATGCATGCATATCTGCTTGGACTGGATATTTTAGAGCGACCATGGAATCGGCATAATGTTGCTCGAGTGTTTGAATCATATGAAACCATACTTGTCTAACGACATCAAAAAATAGATGATTCGTGAAAAGCGTCACACAGTCAAACAGGCAAGAAGAACGCGGACCCCAAATGATATTCGGACTGCAAATAACCTAGTTCACTCAGTGCGGAATGACATTTCTGAACTGACAAATGAACAATGGTATGACTTTCAGGGATCAATGCCTCACTATGGCATGGATCTCTGGAGGACAGCCAAATCTTCACGGTCTAACAAGAAGGAAAAATCCCTTCACATCAGGGAGCAACTGGCATTGTCTACCTTGATGCGGATGGGGATATAATGCAGAGCCAAAATCCCCAAATGCCATTAAGATCCGTAACGCCCCGGAAGATTACAGCTAAAGCAGTTGAATCTCTATCTGAGCCATCTCGGATCTACTTGCTGACAATTATTATTCGCAGGAATACAGCATAATCAGTCTAGTAAACTCGCTAAGAGTCATTCTTGAGCGATTGCAGGATTTTCTTGTGGAGGGAGAAATTCTTCCACATGAACAGTTCGGCTTTCGCAAAAAACACTACTGAGCTGGCAGGCAATCAGACTGGATGGGACGGTCACTTGTGCATTTTCTCGGAGTCAAAGTAGTGGCGTCTTATTGACAGATATCGCAAAAGCATTGGACACGGTATGGCATCAGGGTCTCATCTACAAGCTTATTCAATTGAATTGCCCTTTTTGGCTATCGAAATTATTAAAATCCTTTTTGGAGGGAAGAAAGTTTCTAATCAAAATTTAATAGTTATATTTCATCATTATTATTATTATATAACTGACCGGGAAATGGTGACCGATGATTGACCAAAATCGGGTAACCAATCCCGATGGCGGGAATCATCCTGCGAGAGGATTTTGACAGCGAATGTTCCAAAATTCCTTGAGTCGTGGCGAAGGCAGCCGGTCTAGGGACGCTGAGCCGAACAAGACAGCAGGACCCCAACGGGGGCCTTTTTAGGTCTAATTAACATCATTAACACACAAAAAGAAGGTGGTAGATAAGTGCCGCTAGCTTATAAATGTCCGCATGTGTCCACACCTAAGCTACGCAGTCGGTTATTTTTCCAACAAAGAAATTAATGATGATGAATCCCTCGAGTACTAAGAATTCCGGACGTGAAATCGCCCTACTCTGGGAATGTCCAGATGGAAGGTGGACTCGAGGAACAACATCGAAGATTAAATTTGTTTCACAAACATCTGCGGGATTAACAGCAACAGTGATGCTGTTCATCACTACTTGCAATCTAATCGACCCGCCATGCTTTTTTTGGCGGAGACAAAAATCTCAGAGTCTGCACCGATTAACCATCTTAGTTTACCAAAGTACAAGGTGCACTCCAATCTGAGAAAGAACGGGTAAGTTGTGGCTTATGTCCACAGCAGTGTTTCCTACAGCACTGTTGTCCTGTGTCCCCTGGGCAACTCAGACCACCGTGCTGTGAAGGTCAGGTTTCGGTCAGAACCTGCTGTGGCTTTACGGACATGTCGACTGGGAGGGGCTCAGAGACTTCTTCTCTACCTTTCCTTGGAGAGATGTTTGTTTCACTGACGCGGATGTGTCGGCTGTCTGTTTTTCGATAACCGAAATTATCCACGTCGGAAGGGAGGAATACATCACTTATACAGTGAAAGCGCCTAAACCAGGGTCCAACGGCTGGTTCAACAAATCGTGTGACACTGCTCGCCAGCAGCAGATGAAGGCTTACAGAACCTTCTTACAAAACCCCACTGGAGAGAACAGATAAGCCGACATCTAGTCCAGAAACAAATATATAACGAAGCGGTTCGTAATGCCAAAGACCAGCACGATATACAAGTTAGGCACAGGCGTTTTTCAAGAAAAGCGTGCTTCATCCACACTTTTTTTGTTTTAAAATGATCTATCAGACTCGTCTCAAGAGAAAAAAACAGTGAAATCCGAAGTTCTACAAGACGCAACAGTACCCCAATAACATCTCCATACCAAACACCACACCAAACTGTGACTGGACGAGGATGTATTGGTCGTTGATGGATGACACGAGGGTTCTCTAATGCCCAGATACGACAATTCCAAATCCGTTCGTATCGAAGTGGGCATCATCGCTCATTGTCAGTTGTCGGTAAAAATCGTTATTTTGGGTATTAAGCTGCAGTATTCCATGACTGTATTGTCGGTTACACTAGGGTCACTAGGCTGTAGTTGTGTGCAAATTTCCGCTCCATCGGAAAAATAAGATTTTTGTCGTTCAGTTGTTGTATACAGGGAAGCACAAAAAAGTTATGTTATTTACTGAAATCGTGCTGTAAATGCCGCAGTCTAGAAGTTTGGAATAAAAAAAAACACTATCCAGACTAGCTCCCGCCACCTTAGGTCGGCTACTGTATTTATCTATTTTATTCATGTTTGTATGGGTTATGTGGAGGAATAGATTAATCAAATCCAAGCGAATAACCAAAATTTCTGTGTTATGTGCCGCGGTTATACTAGGCAGTCTGATAAGTACCTGAAAATTCTAAGAGATGGCATTAGTATTCACTAATGCGAACCATTTTTGTCGAGCCTGATCCTTCAAATGACACCTGTCAAAACTTCAGCCATTCATGTTTACACATTTACAAGTTACAGCACTGAGAAGCGACTAACCTCAGAGTTTTTTTTAATATGGAAAAATCCGAGTTTCGAGTTTTGATCAAACACTACTATCTACGCAAGAAAACGATATCCGAGACCAAGGCCAAGCTGGATAAGTATTACCCGGACTCTGCACCGTCGATTGGAACGATTCATAAGTGGTTTACGGAGTTTCGTTGTGGCCGTACAAGCACAGTTGATGCTGAACGATCTGGGCGCCCAAAAGAGGTCACTACACCAGAAAACGTCGAAAAAATCCATGATATGATGTTGAATGATCCCAAAGTGAAATTGAGAGAGGTAGCTAATGCTGTAGGCATGTCATTGGAACGCGTAGGCAATATCGTCCATTCAGTTTTGGGCATGAAGAAGCTCTGCGCGCGATGGGTGCCGCGTTTGCTCACAGTGGACCAAAAACGAATTCGTGTGACGACTTCCCAGCAGAATTTGGCATTATTTTCGCGTAAGCCGACCGAGTTTCTGCGACGATTTGTAACCATGGATGAAACCTGGATCCATTACTACACTCCTGAGTCAACGCAACAGGCAAAACAGTGGGTTCCACCGGGCCGAAGTGCTCCGAAGCGTCCAAAAACGCAACAATGGGCCGGAAAGGTTATGGCCTCCGTATTTTGGGATGCTCATGGCATAATATTCGTGGACTATCTTGGAAAAGGTAAAACCATAACCGGAGCATATTATTCATCATTATTGGACCGATTGAAAACCGAAATCGCCGAAAAACGACCGCATTTGAAGAAGAAAAAACCGCTTTATCATCACGACAATGCGCCTGTTCATTCATGCTTAGTTGCACAAGCAAAATTGCACGAAATCGGCTTCGAATTGGTTCCTCAGCCACCGTATTCACCAGACCTGGCCCCCAGCGACTATTACTTATTCCCTAACCTGAAGAGATGGCTCATCGGTAAGCGTTTTTACTCAAATGAGGAGCTCATAGCTGAAACTGAAGCGTATTTTGGAGACCTTCCGATCGAGTACTTTTCGGACGGTATCAAAAAGTTAGAAAATCGTTGGATTCGCTGTATCGACCTAAAAGGAGAGTATGTTGAAAAATAAACCCGACTTTGGCCAAAAAAACGTCTCCGTGTTTCATTTTTCAGGGACTTATCAGACTGCCTAGTAATATGGTTCAAGATGACACACGGGTTGATGACGTCAGTTACACGAATCGCTTGAACGCGTTGGTTTTAACCGCGGTTTTGTTGCAAGTTGTTTATTTTAGAAAAGCGCGTATATAATCACTGATTATTTTTATTATCACTTAATAATCGGTGCTTTTTCGTCTACAACTGTGTATGGAAAGTTTAAATAAGAAACCTTTCATAATATTCATGGGAGAAATGTTTTTTTTTCAGAAATTTTTTTTTAATGATGGAACCATGGCTTTGTTGCTATGATAACTTTCAATTGAATGTCAAAGAAAACATTTATTGATTCAGCAGAAATGATGAAAAAAGAAATTAGCAGGTCGGCATCATCTAGTGAGTTTATATGGCCATATTTTAATATTCTTGTGGTATATGGCTACACAGGATACTTTGTTAAGCATAGGAACTACATTTAAAGTGTCCCCAACAACCGTAATGAGTATAACTAATAAGGTGCTCCACTTTATGGTAAAACAGAAATCAGCCTGTATCAATTTTCTCAAAAATGAAGCTGAAGTACAATAACAATATCCAATACCCGGCAAAATTCTAACTTGTCACATTTCAAATAATAACCAGAAATATAAAACTACTCTTGAGTTGGGTAAATACCACAATTTTGCGGTGATAACTATGACATATAACAGCTGATTCGTGACGTCACGGCTCTTATAACCAAACTGATAACTACACTCGCTTGAACGGATTGGTAAATACCAAGCCAAAATGGTAAATACCATTTCCATTTGGTTATCCGCTTGAATTTGATTAATTATAAAGTGATTATAACCACTGACTCGTTCTGTATCGAAATTGCAAAATCTCATGCTATCCATGTCAAATCGGATGTAGAGTGCTGTCATTGTCAAACGTCATAAACTGTCATCTTTGAAGTTTTTTCGATTTGTTTTGGAAAAGCTTTTGAGCTACATTTTTCATTAATCCGAAAACATCGGATTTCTTTCAGAACTTTTCAGAGTGAAATTTCAATAAACGAAGATGACTGCACCTACTGCAGGGGGAGATGGCAGCAGAAACAGGACTTTAGCCTACAAGGATAAAAGTAAACCCGCCGATATTAGGCAAAGTAATATAAATGCCGCAAAAGGTGAATTTTACTTGAAATAATAGTAGTCTTTATGTATTTTCGAGCTCATACTACTATTTTCATCATACATTATCACATACAACCCGTACATCGAATGAGTAGCCTGGTAGAAACTGAAAAAAACAACTTTTTATTTCAGCTGTTTGTGATGCTATTCGTACTAGTCTTGGACCTAAGGGAATGGACAAGATGGTAAATTATCTACAAATTTGTTAGTGTGGATCATATTAACTATTCCTCTTGCAGATACAAGCTGGGAATGGAGAGGTTACTATTACCAATGATGGAGCTACAATACTTAAGCAAATAAATGTTATTCATCCTGCAGCTAAAATGGTATGTCATGTGTAAAATGGAAAATAGGTCATTTTTAAAGCATAAAGCTAGATATTGAGTTTGATTGAGGGTTTGTACATTTCATTAGTCATAATCATGGACATGAGTGAATTTTCTGCATTTCTCAAGAGCTCTTAGTTGTTTCTCTTACCAAATCACAAATCTATAATTTAGTGAACCACCCAATCTAAATTGCAATTCTTGAAATGCAGTATATGTTTAAATATTTGTAGTTGGCACAGCAGACCCTGAAAATGAACGATTTTATCCCCTAGTTTTACAGTTGACGGTTGAGGTCTCATGAAATTATGTCTTTCGAATCAAATGTGAATCTTGATTTTTCCTTTGATTCATTTTGAGAGATGTCAGTAATACAGTAAGCATATCCAACCAATGTACAGCAGCCAAGACGTGCAGAACTTGTATGCTGAATAGCAGTAGCCATGGATAAGCATAGATAATTCTCACCATACTATCTTTCGGACAGCCAAATGCATTCTGCAAAAAAGCAATGCATTGCTAGATTGCTTTATATTAGGTGGACTCATGGTTTACTTGTCATCCTAAAATCCTGCATTTTCTCAATGGGAGTCAGCAACACAATCCATATTAAATGTTGGTTTGTTAAAAAAAGGCAGCTGACTTGCTGTTTCAACCTTTTTTATAGCTCAGTTCATGGTTCTCTGTTTCCTCACACTAAAACTGCTGGCATTACTTTTACACATCCACCTCCCTCACAGATATTTATATACAATCTGCCTCTGTGAATGAATATTTTTTTGTGTAAGCTCAGGCATACATTCTTTAGCTCCATCTCATGACCTTGAAAAACACCCATGTATGAGTATTTCTCGTCTATGCTTGTCACTGTCAGTGTGACAACCTACTTGACATCAGTGTACCAGTTTGAATGTACCTTCTTTTGATATTTGTAATGTAAAACATACCATTACTTGAAAATACTACTAATAGACAATATCAATAGTTTTTGCAAAAATTATTGGATTATTTGAGAAAGTTAATGAAAGTAATGGTCCTTTATTAATCACTTCATGTGTGCAAGAGCAGCTGTGTTTGAGATCACTTTGCTTAGTGCACAATTTTCCTAATTTGGTTTAACTCTGCACATGTTTCATTTTGCTTAATTATTTTGTATGACATTGATGATGTGAAAAGAACTACAGTACAGTAGTTCTATTATTGTTTTTACTTTTAAGCTTTTGTATTATATGCTTGATTATATTCTTAACACTTTCAATGCTAATACATTGTTGACAAACTTCACGGATGGATAGTGCATTTGTTTGTAAATAATACAGTTAAAATGTTACTAGTATGTCTTCTATATAATTAAAATACAATAAACACCTCCCCTCAGGTATTTTTTTTCCTGTGACGCATTGGTGCCTCATGTGCATCCTACACCCAAACTTGGTCCTGTGTGCATGACGCACTGGTGTGTCATAAAATATTTTATTGATATATTGCAAAACACACTGGGGGAGAAAACTGCTCTGGAGTGCCTAGCAGAACACTCATATAAGAAAAACTTTCTAAATATGTACTGTAAAAGAGCAAACTGGTAGAAAACACCTACATATGCAAAGTGACATTGACTAGAGAACTATTGCTGCACCCATTTAGAATACTAGAGTTCATTCATTAAATTTCTGAACTTTTGAACATTGGGTATACTCTACTTTTGGGTGTTGACTTGATGTGAGTGTTATGGGTCAAAACCACCAAGGTGGAAAATTAGCTTCCGTAGCTAGCTAATGCCTAAATTCGTTATTTTTTTAAAATATTTATTGTCGATACTTATAGCTGTGTAATCATATTAACAGTACATACTATTTTTATACTTCAAAAGTAAACCATGTTCATGATTATTTGACCAAATAAGTGCAAAAATCATTTCGAGAACGTGTCCTAAGTACCATTTTTTATAAACTAACACCACAAATATCCATAAAATGGAATTAATCTAGGAGTTTTTGTTATTTATTAGCTTTCAATTTTATCTGACATCAGGAATTATATGCATTATTAAAGAAAAAAAAAAGAATTATAAGAAACTCAAGACAAAATATTATGTCCGGTAATGTAAGCGTCATTTGAGTGAACGCAGCTCTGATTACCCTGAAGAATCGTGTTGTTGAACGCAGCTTCTAAATGTCTATGGTACAGTGTAGTGGAACATGTAAACAAAGTGGCTATCAAAAGATCTTTCCGGCAAAATAATTGGCAATAGGTGGTAAGTACGTTTCTATTTATTATCCACAGAGCGTACATCAATAGGTCATCATTCCGGGAATACGTTTGTTAACTTGGAATATTGAAAAAATGCGTTTCATAGTCTTTATGACAAACACTAACCTGAAATATTTCACATTAACCAAGCCAAACATGACGCCAAAGATGGCCGCTGGCTAAAAAGGGCGCGTTTATTTGAAAAAGTCATTCCGGGAACAGTCATTTTGGGAACGCTGCCGGACTTGACGGAGCGTTCCCGAAATGATGATGACGTTCTCGAGATGACTATTTAATTACCCGAGTAGTTTATGTTATAACTATTGCTTAATTAATGTAGTGCATGGTGCGCTTAAATAGTTTTAATACATGGTTTTTTTCTAGCAATATGGAGTCCCAGGACGCTGCAACAAAAAGAAAACTTTCTAAGAAGCAACTTAAAAAAAATAGTTCAGCTTACTTGCGCCAACGAGAAAAAGCCAATGCAAGAAAAAAGAAATTCTTAGATAAGATGACAGAGGAAGAGATAGAGATCAAAAGGGCTAAGGATAGAGCATACTATCGGAAAAAGAAAGCTGAGAAGAAAGTTAAAAACATTGCTGAGATGACTGGAAGAGAAAAGCGAAAGCAAAGACAAATTTGGAAAGAAGCGTCAAAGAAATACAGAGAAAAGAAAAAGACATTATCAACTATACTAAACAATACTCCGCCACATTCCGATGATGAGTTAGCTGCAACACCTTCAGTAAGAAAAACAGTGGGTAGAAAAATTGTGCGGAAGGACAGAGCTAAAGCATATCGTAAAATCAAACAACAGGAGAAAACAATTGCTAAAATTACACGTAAATATGAAACCTTGAAGAAAAAACTAAGAAGAAAAGAAAATAGAGAACAGGAGAAATCTCAGCCACCAACAACTCCTAACAGCAAGGTTGACGCATTGATAAAAAATGTTGACGTCCCTCCTGAGGTGCGCAAGAATCTTTTATTTAACGAAGTACTGACTACGCAATTAAAAGAAAAAGCTGGTAGTTTGAAAAAAAACTCTAAAGAGAATGAAGTCTTCCAAAAATGTGTCAGTGGTGATTTGGTAAGAAAATACAAATTGCTTCATATGGTTAAGACTTTTTTGCCAAAAGAAAGAACCAGTACATCGATTTTGAAGTCGGATACCAAAATTCGTGAGGTTGTGTAGAAGCACGATATTCGTCAAAAAGTTGAAGATTTCTTCCAGAGTGACGATATCAGTAGGATGTGCCCAGCTAAGAGAGATTTTGTGAAAAAAAACGGCATTAAGAAACAAAAACGCATCCTTTTATTTCCTGTTAAAGAACTGATGTCAAAATTCGTTAGCGAAACTGGAATAAACTTGTCTTATACGATTTAAGTTATATTTTTGTTAAGAATAAACCTTCTGCCAAGTACATAAATATGTATGCTATCCAAAAATTTCTTTTTTCATCGTCTGACATGGATTTTATGTGTACCGTCATTTCGAGAACACATTCATCATTCCGTGAAGGCCTGATCATTTCCGGGAACATCACTAAATCATGGATAAAACATTATTATTTTGAATATTCTGAAAAAGGCCCTAGTAATATAAAAACTAGGCCAACTTTTAATGCGTACAACTTACTCATTTATATATAAATCAGCAATATAAGCATATTTAGATAATTTAATACAAAGAAATAGTCAGATCGCTCCATTTGTAACGATATTTTGCTTTTAAATATTTGTTTTTGCAATTTTGTTAGAATTTTTTTATTTCCTACTATTTTTCACATACTTCCGCTACTGAACAGAGTAAAGAAGAAATACTTAAGTTATATTTAAATTTTAAAATGAATGTCACAAAAACGTTCCCATAATGACTCTTTTCAGCGGTAGCTCAATTTAAAAATCAAATGACAACAATAATAATTAATTCTATGCTCTGCCAACGTAAATATTGTTTAAACACAAGTCTAGTGATCATTCTAGATAATCATCAAAGTAATCGTTGCCAGTTATTTTTTTTATGAAATAGAATTTGGAATTTGCCACCTTGGTGATTTTGACCCTTATGTTTGAATTATGTTTTCTCAACTTACAGTTAGTAGAACTTTCAAGGGCACAAGATGTTGAAGCTGGAGATGGAACCACTTCAGTAGTTGTGATTGCAGGAGCCTTGTTAGATGCTGCAGAAAAATTGTTGCATAGAGGAATTCATCCTACTGCCATCTCAGAATCTTTCCAGAGAGCTGCTGTTCTTGCTCTTGATGTAAGCATATAAAAAATGTTGACAGAACATAGAAAACTTCAAGGAAGTATGTTCCAGATACTTAAGGATAATTAGTAATATTTTATTTGCAGTTACTCATGTATACTTTGAAAATGTTATTGTCTCATAGATGAAGACAAACAAAAATCACTCATCTGGTTTCAATGGATGGCCATGTTCTACCAAAGAACCATTCATTTCAGCTGGTTCGAGTCCTGATCACTAAGGACTGAACCTGGCACAGACACATCTCATCAATAGCGGTAGATGTTGGGAAAAAGCTAGGTTATTTGTTTAGACCTAAGAAGTACTTTTCTCTACATAACCTCCTCACTCTGTACAATGCCCCGATAAGATCTAGCCTTTAGTAATGCTCACATGTTTGTGGTGCTGTCATCTGGACTACATCTATGCGCGATGCTGTTCAGAGGAGAGTACTCCAACTAATCAATGACTTCTTTAAAGAACTGTCTTGGGATGCTTTCACGATCTAGCTCTCTTCTACGCGCTATGTCAACAGGCTTTGCTCCTCAGAGCTCTCCTCCATGATGCCGCCTGCCAGACAGACCCGCCTGACTTGGCCTCCCACCCTAACCACGTCGAACTTCGCATATCCAGAACTGGCCGATACGACCGCTCCTTTGTCTCTGTGGTATCTATATTGGAGAACAATCTACATGGGCTTTTCTCAATTCTACTAACCTTAGGCATTTAAAAAATTGGAATAACAATGTTTCTTCAAGATCCTCATAGCAGGCGCGGTGCCCGGTATTTACACGGCTGCTTCGGAATAAAAAAAATGCGTCTGTAGCAGACTCTATGAGCATATACGGAGCACCATCTATGAGACACTAACCCGTTTAAAGTGTATATAGTAAACAGAGAATAGTCAATATAACATTTAGAAGTTCAGTTCAGTGTTTGTCATACTGAAAAATGCTAACTATACCTCAGATCCACCTGTCATTATGGTGCAGCTAAAAATGATCAAGATTTAGAGAATCTATATGTGTAATTCAACATAGATTTTTATTAGTAAGTAGTAAGCACATGACTCAATTTTTTGTAGATTCTACAAGAAATTGCTACACCAGTAGACATCACAAATAGAGAACTGCTGATAAAATGTGCATCTACATCTCTGAACTCGAAGGTAGTTTCTCAGCATTCTACTCAACTGGCACCTTTGGCTGTAGATGCAGTGTTGAAAATTGTAGAACCAGGTAATGATTACATGCAACATGATTTTTTATGTTTATGCTATGGCCATACAAACTTTTTGGTTTGAATATTTGATTGCCCTGAAGCAAGATAACAGAATATGTATTAGCAAATTTCCCTGAAATAATTGTGAAGTCTGGTTTTATTGGTGCAAGTTGTTCAAGGGGGTATTTAAAACATAGACGCATAAAATGGGTACACCAATTTTTGTGGGAAAACTTTTTATTTGACAACAAAGAATGAGAAAACGTATTTTTTGGGATTCAATCGAAAGTGTTGACAGAAACGAAAAAACATTTTATATCAGATTTTGAGGTATTTGTGTATAGCAAAAGTGTTATGTCCGAAAAACGAGGCAAATTGCTGGTTTTGGCACTTGTTGCTAATGCGACGATAATTTCACGCAACTACAAGAAATTCTTCAAATCCGTAGGATTCACACTTCTAAATAACAACAAAATTGGAGATATATTGGTCAAGTAGTTTTTTGAGAGTTTCTAATGGTTTATCCCAAAACACATGTTTTCCGGCCATCACTACTAGTTTATTGAGCAATATACAGGGCTCAATAGCAAAATACACTAGTTTACCTTGCCGATATGAATCACCAACTATTCCGAAAGATAAATGTCATTTTCAAGCGAAAAACAAAAGATTACGTTTTTTTTTTCTTCTAAACAAATTCAAACATTTCGTATTTGTGAGTAATTGAACAAACGCGCTACTATATTCGAAAAACATACGTTACTATACACATTTTAAAACAAAGAATTTGTTTAGAAGAAAAAACGTAACCCATCCCTTTTTGCATAAAAATAAAATTTATATAAACTATCTAATCTAGTGTATTTTGCTATAAAATGCCCTTTGAACTGTGACCCTATACTCTCAACAAACTAGTAGTGATGGCTGGAAAACAGGTGCTTTGGGATAAACAATTAGAAATTCTCAAAAACTACTTGACCAATCTACTCCAATTTTCTTGTGTTTATTTAGAAGAACGAATCCTACGAATTTGAATATTTTCAAATATCTACGAGAAACCACCATCGTCGCTTTACCAGCAAGTGCCAACATCTGCACTTTGCGTCGGTTTTCGGTCATAACTTGTTTGCTATTAGTCGGATCTTTTTACGTGTGATCTCATTTTGTAGGTCTCATAAACACCTAAAAATCTTATAGAGTTTTTTCGTTCCTGCCAACACTTTCGATTGAATCCCAAAAATACGTTTTCTTATTCTTTGTTGTCAAATAAAAAGTTTTCTCTCAAAAATTGGTGCGCCCATGTTTTGAATACCCCTTGAACAACTTGCAACAATAAAACCAGACTTTACGATTATTTCGTCTAATATGATTAGACTATTATTATAATGTAATCATGTAATTAATAGAAGTTGACTTCTTTCAAAGAAGCATCACATTTGTTTTTATGTTTTCAATTTTCACCAAATATTTTAGTTTTGTTTTGTTCGAAATGAATAGGATTTGTTACTCATATTTATTTATATTTTGACATGTCCTATCAGCAAATAATTGACTTATTTTTTTAAGGGAGAGAACAGGCTTGCAATCTGAAAGACATCAAAGTTCTGAGACAGCTTGGTGGAACTGTAGAAGATACAGAATTAGTGGAAGGTATTGTGTTCCCACAAAGGTCTTCTAATGTTTCTGGTCCCAAACGTGTGGAAAAGGCCAAAATTGCATTTATTCAGTTCTGTATCTCACCACCAAAGACCGATATGGACCACAATGTTATCATTTCTGACTATGCAGCTATGGATAGAGTGTTGAAAGAAGAAAGGGCTTATATTTTGAATATAGTCAAGCAGATCAAAAAAGCTGGGTGTAATGTCTTGTTGGTAAGTGAAACATATCTTAAAAACGTCATCCAGTATATAGAGTGATTAATGAAACAGTGGCAGTATTTCTGAGGCAGGAAGTAGGACCAGAAATAACATGGAAAGCTCACATACTGGGCGGAGTATTGTAATCGTGAAAAATTTCGAAAACTGAAACATTGTGTAAATGTCAATTATACACATTTTGATATTGTTTGTCCTACTACCATTGATTAACGTATTTTACCTGACGATATCTACCCTAATACTATATTCGCGAGTCCAAAACATTGTCCGAGATGACATGAGATACTGCAACGTCATCTATGAAAATTTGTCACAGCTATGTTTCTCCTCTCTTCACTAATTAGAGATACACTTTGAAAAGTTAGTGCCTCATAGCTGTCGCTAAACTTTTCAAAGAGGATTTCTAATCAGTGAGAAGAGAAACATCCAGTAGCGGACAAAAGTTTGGAAACAAATATTAAAATCATTATGAACTATTTCATATATCTGAATTAAAATTGTGAGGGAACAGATAAAATAAATATTAAAGTCTACCTTTGGCTCCGATACTAATACAATGTTCATCTTGTCAATATTCAAATTGTTTGAAAATAAAAATACGCGTTTTTTTAAATACCACAGTTTTTGAAACGACAAAAGTAAGGAAAAATTTCAGTTTTGCCGTATTTATTCGTTCTGCGATACTCTGATATTGCGTGCGGTAAATATTAACACCAGTGAGAATGTCATAAGTAAAAGAATTTTCAACAGATTTAAGAGACAAAGCAATTGAATTATTTAGAAGTGGTGTCAGAAATGTTGACATTTCTAAAAGATTGAAAGTGATTAAAGGGACTATTACGAAAACTATTAGTAAATATCAAGAATACGGATCAACAGCAACGCGGGTCAAGTGCGGACGACCGAAAAAACCATTATGTTTTGAATCGCTACATTAAACGTTTGTCCCATGAAGATCCTCGGATGCCAGCCACACGGATTTTCAAAAGAATCGTAGAAGAGGGTGCCGAGAATATTTCTGTCAGAAGAGTGTAGACAGAGGTGCTTGGTGGATTTTGGGCTTTTTGCTAGGCGTCCAATGCAGAAACCTCTCATTTCAAACAAAAAATAGTATTGCTCGGCTTGAATTTGCTGAAACTCGTCTAACTTGGACAGAACAACAATGGAATACAGTTTTATGGAGTGATGAAAGCAAATTTAACTTGTTTGGATCTGACGGAACGGCATATGTGAAACGTCAAATTCGAACAAGATTCGACAAAACTTGTCAGTTGCCAACAGTTAAGCACAAACCACATCATGGTTTGGGGCAGTTTTTCTAGTTCTGAAACGGGTCCAATTGTTAAAATTGTTGGGAAAATGGTTCAAAAACTTTACAAAGATATTAGTGAACACATGTTCCGTTTTGCTGAAGAAGAAATGCCTTTACGATGGACATTCCAGCAAGAAAATCACCCCAAGCATACCTCAAATTTCTTAAAGAACTGGTTAAGACTAGAAAATTTTAATGTTCGTAAATCGCCTTCGCAATCATCGGACCTAAACTCTATAGAACATCTCTGGTAGCCTGTTAAAAGACAACTGACAAGAAAAACTTTTAAAAATAGGAATTTGGTATTTGGCAAAATATCCCAAAAGACGTATGTAAAAAAATGGTGTCTTCTATGAGCAGCAGATGTCAGACAGTGTTGAATGGAAAATGCTATGCTACCAAATAATAGCTAAACAGTATTTTTTAAATATTTTTGTAGAGTTATTGTATTTAATTTTGTAATAAAAAGTATGTGTCCATACTTTTGTCGACTCATTTTCGGTCATAAACGACGCTATTTTAAAGCTAGTCTGTAGTACCACAGCAAACAAATTGTCATTTGTATCCTCAAGAGTGTAAGCAAACTATATGAGAAAAAAAAATAGTCAATAATAATGAAGAATTAAAAATTAGCACACTATTTAAAAATTACCAAGAATGTTTCCAAACTTTTGTCCGCTACTGCAGATGTGACAAATTCTCATAGATATCTCATTTCATCTCAGATAATTTTTGGGGCTTGGGAATAAATATAGTATTAGGTTGGCTATCTTCAAGTAGAATCACGTTTCAGTGGCTGAAATAATTACACTTTAAGCTGTAATTTTAAACAGAACTGTTAAAAATAGGAATATTTTTTAATAGGTGCAAAAATCCATTTTACGCGATGCTGTCTCCGACCTTGCCCTGCACTTCCTTGATAAGATTAAATGCATGGTGATCAAGGATGTTGAAAGAGAAGACGTGGAATTTGTTTGCAAGTCACTGGGATGCAGACCAATTGCTTCATTGGATCATTTTGTGCCAGAGAATCTTGTTACTGCTGATTTGGTGGAAGAGGTTGGAATGGCTGGCAACAGGATGGTCAAAATTACTGGTGAGTGGATGAAAGAAGTTTTCGAACCACAGTATTGGAAATACTAAACTTGGCCAGTCAGTTAGTTTATTTCTAAACAAATGCGACCATTTTATTATTTTACTTTATACTGTTGTCAATGTTTTCCATAAATGTGTTCGAAAATCCACTGCACAGTGAATCGTCATTATTTTTGTTTTTTGTAACGTGTATGCCGTTTTGATGCCTTGAAAGCTATTTGTATAAGAAGATTGTATGTCAAGACAAATCATAAAAATAATAGAGTTGCTCTTCATTAGTGAACAAACGATTGTTTATATGAGGCAATTTTTTAAGTCACGGTTATGTAATGGGGTCAAAAAAACTTAATTTATGAACTTGAGTCACAAACTAAAATATAGAAATTTCTTCCATTTTTCAACATGCTCACCATAAACATTAAATTCAATTTACAAAGAACGCTGTCGCCTGACCATTAAACCAGTCAGTAATCGTTTTTTCAACATATTCTGATTTTCTAAATGGTTTTCACCAAGACATCCAGTAATTTCCAACGAAACTTTTTAGTTGCATATGTGTTCTTGCCATGAAGTAAGATGACGCCGCTAGAGAGCAGGCACTGCCAGCGGTTTTGAATAGCGTGCCTAAGCTTCAATGTTTCATAGCACCTCTCAGTATTTATAGCAAGATAAACTTTTTGCGTTTACTGAGTAACATGGCGACAAACAAGGTAGTATAACCACGTAACCAACCCCGACAGAGACGTGAAACGTAATGGCGACATAGGGAAGACTGGACCAGAGTGACTGAGGTTGAACGTCCGTCACGTGACAGAATGCGCGGGCACAATGCGCAATCGGTTTATTAAAAATGAGGTTTGGCTTTCTTCTAGAATTTCACAAAATATTTGTAAAGTATATACGAGGAGGTACCCAAAAATAACCAGAATAGCATTGCAGTGGGCGGAGCTTCACATTTCAGCCCCTAGAGGCGTACAGCGCAACTCATTACCAGTTCAGTGCCACCTGAGTTGTCGATCTGGCTTGTTTCGTTTCTCTGTAGTCATTATTTTTGCTAGAGCTGTTTCGTGTTTGTTTCATTTTTAAAATGGCAAGCTTCAGTGAGCAACGTGCAGCTGTGGAATTTTGCTTTCTAATTGGTAAAAATGCTGCTGAAACTGTTTTAATGTTGAAAATAGCTTACAAAGATGATGCTATGGGAAATACTCAGGTGTACGAGTGGTTTGCTCGATTTAAAAATGGCGACATGTCGATTGATGACAAACCTCGCTCTGGACGTTCATCAACTGCCCGAATCGACGAAAATGTTGAAAAAATCCGAGAGCTTGTGCTTGCAGACCGTCGACTGACAATCGATCAACTATCCGTAAGTAGTGGGTTGTTCTGGAGCTCGGTTTAGCGAATTTTAACAAAAGATTTGGGAATGAATAGGGTTGCTGCCAAGTTTGTTCCTCGGGCTCTGACTGACAATCAAAAAGAACATCGAACTGAAACATGTTGTGTTTTGAAACAACTGAATCTGATCCAAATTTTCTGTCGAAGATCGATCATCACTGGTGATGAGACTTGGTGCTACGGTTATGACCTAGAAACAAAGCAAAAGTCAAGTCAATGGAAGACGCCATCGTCACCATGTCCAAAAAAATCAAACATCAAAACAATGCTGATTTGTTTTTTTGATGTTAAAGGCGTAGTGCATTCGGAGTTTGTTCCCCCAGGTCACATTGTCAATCAGACCTTGTATTTGGAAGTTTTAAGACGATTGCGAAAGTGTTCGGCAAAAAAGACCCGATATGTGGGTCAGGAGACTGGTTCTTCCACCACGATAATGCACCTTATTCGCCTGACCTGGCTTTTCTTATTTCCACGGATGAAAAGGGGCATGGAGGGACGCCGCTTTAACATTGAAGAGGCCAAGGAAAAAACAAGGGAGGAGATGTCAGACATTTCTAAGGCAGACTTCAAAAAATGTTTCGAGCACTAGAAGCACCGGTTTGACAAGTGTATTAGTTGTAGAGGACAGTGTTTTGAAGGAGAATAGGTTACTTTGTGAAACAGTTGAAAACAAATAGGTTTTAAAAAATAATTCCTGTTTTTTTTGGCACCCCCTGCATATGTGGTTTAATCTGTTTCAAATGGGAGTGTTCTATTAGGCCAATGTCACACCATCAGAAATACTGTGATCCTTCAACATTTATCATGGAATCTGATATTTACTGATCATGTAGCCTGGACGTCAGTATATTATTTGACGTAAAGTTACATATAAATCCACTGACACTGATGGAATGATCAGTAAATCCTGATGACAGAGACCACAGTAAATACTCATTAAAACCTTTGTATTGACCTTCCTAAAACCCTCTATGTTAGTTTCTCTAATTGCTTCACTCGCGCAAAAATGGTTTCCTTTTGAGTGCTCTACATTTATTTATACTATCTTCACAGGAGTTCAAAATGCTGGTCGCACAGTCACACTCCTTGTCAGAGGCTCTAACAAGTTGGTGCTAGAAGAGGCAGAACGTTCTATACACGATGCCTTGTGCGTGATTCGGTGCTTGGTGCGCAAGAAGGCGTTGGTAGCCGGCGGAGGCGCACCGGAAGTCGAGGTCTCGCTGAAGCTGGCCGCCAAATCGAACACCTTGGAGGGTATCGACGCCATTTGTACCAGGGCGTATGCTGATGCGCTCGAGATCATACCGTTCACGTTGGCTGAGAATGCTGGGTTAAACGCCATTCAGGTGAGTTGACATTTTGGAATGGTTTGTTTATACTTATTTTACTTCTCACACGAACTGGCGAAGAAGTATTGTAATCACGGAAAAAATTAAATGATATTATGATTTTTTGATGTTATATGACAGGGATGGCGAACCAAAGGCACGCAACACAATATTTTGGGCACGTCACAAATCACTAAATCATTTTGCATTAAGAGAAAAAGTGTAAAGTGGGTATTTATTTTATGACGAGCGAACGCAAGTAGGTATACTACAACTATTTAAAACTGTAATGACTCATACGCGTGATCAACACGTGATCAGAGCTCGATCCCGGCTTCCTTCCAGTACAGCCGTATAGCGTACGACATATGTCGTTTCTGTGGCTTTGCGGTGGTCAACAGCACAGACAGAGATGGAAATAATGGCTGATTGTTCTCCGCCGGTAGAACCAATGAAATCAAAGACGCGCCTCGACCGGCAGACTCATAGGCGTCGGCAACGCATTGGAACGTGTTTCGTTGAGTGATCGCATATTGTGTGTTTTTATAAGAATTGTTGTGTGATTGTTATTGCTGTGGTTTCTGTGGTTACTGTTTTGGTTATACTTAACCATGGAAAGTACAAATGGCACGAGTGGAAGTACTGAAAGCTAGGGAACAAGTAGACGGCTTCGTAAAGCACTGAAGAGGGACGCGAAAGAAATCGTGCTCTACGTGTTCAATTATCTGAACAGAACTATGTCGCAGGGAGATGCACTCGCGCGTTGTGAAAGTATGACAGGCGTTCCAGAGTGGACCATTCGCAGGGTGGTGCATGAAAAGAAGAAAACTGGAGCTACTACTGATCCAAAGTTTAATTTGAAGGGACGAAAGGCCGTTAAATTGAATGACGATAGCAAAATGGTGTTAAGGCGAACCGTACATTCATTCTTCTTTAGGAATGAGATACCAACCCTCAAGGCTGTACATGCAGCGATCAAGGAAAATGAAATTATACCCCAAATGAGCGTCGAGGTAATGAGGAAATCCCTGCACGAAATTAATTTTCGTTACGAAACGCGTAATCGGAAGTCAGTATTGATAGAGAGACCTGAAATAGTCGCCTGGCGTCGAAAATACATATAGAGGTGTTTTAAAACGTCGTGAGCCGTGACCGTTACACTATGTGTATGTGCAGAAGACAAAAATTAGAGCAGCGGGAACAATATTATCCTAATCACAAATATCGACTTTTCCGACGCACCAAATCTGGCATTCTGCTTAGAACATCCGAGAGAAAACTATCGGTACTCATTGGCGTGCGACTGTAGATTACGATTTTGTTAAAAAATATATGAACGATTTAGATATACACGAGACACCAGACAAAGAAAGAGTTACTGAAGAATTTATTTCTTTGATTGATTATTTAATCAAGGAATTTTCAGCGACATTTACGCAGATCAAGGAATTATCGGAAATAATCAAGTTTATTATGTACCCTGACGTGACGTCCTTTTTATAAATTGAACTTGTCCCAATTCGATTGGTTGGAAATCGAAGAATTCGAAATGCAGCTGATTGATTTCCAGTTCAGTTCAATATGGCTTCAAAAATTTATTGAAACAAGGATAAAGGCTGCTACACACAGTGCCGGCGGCAGGGCCGCCGGGCAAGCCGCCGGCTAAGCCTCCGTACACCCGCCGGCATACAAAGCCGCCGGCCTTGCCGCGCAAAGGAGCCGCCGGCATTGCCGCCGGGGTGTGCCGGCGTCACTTCGTTCCTGGCATTCGAGCGGTAGTGTTGTGCGGTTTGTGTGTTTAAACAAATTAAAATGTCGTTTAATTGGGACGACGAAGCTGTGCTGCTCTTAATTGAAAAATTTCATGAAAATGATATATTATGGAATCCCAGAAATGCAGACTATAAGAATAGGAATAAACGAATGGACGCATTGAACATAATTGCAAGTGTATTTGACATTGATAAAGGCGAAGTAGAGAGAAAGTTAAAAAATGTAACCTCTCATTATTTTCGGGAAAAAAAGAAGTTAGAACAGTTGCACAAATCTGGTGCAGGCATAGACGATGTATAGAAACCCAAAAAACATGCTATTGCGCAAACGCTGACACCCCACATCATCTTTTTTATACTCTTCTATCATTACAGTACCGTTCCGCCATTTTCTATTTTGTAAACTTGGGTGCAACCAAAACCTTCTCGTCCTTTTGTATTTTTTTCTTATTAAAATAAAAATTACAACTGGGGCGGCTGTGCTGATGATTTCCTTATTCATTTTAACCAACCAACCATAAAATATGCACTTCACTAGCGTTCTATGTGACTATCACAACCGGAGTGATGCTTGGCGGCTTTGCGCGGCTTGTATTGCCGACGGCATTGCCGCTCGGCATAAACCCGGCGGCATTGCCGCCGGCACTGTGTGTAGTAGCTTTAAAGTTAGAACTAATAGAAACGGAAAGATTGACAAGTGATATAAGAGAAAATGCTAATAACAATTTTACATTCAACTGTTTGAAGAATCTGGCTCATGCTACATTAACGATATTTTCGTCTGCATATGCGTGCGACTCATTATTTTCAGAAATGAACAATATTAAAGACTCGGTTACAAACCGTTTAACAGACGAATGCAGTTATGCATTCTGCTAAAAGTAACATCTTACAACCCCGATATAAATTATTTATCATCTAATCTGCAACAAAAGAAGTCACACTAATTTTACTTTAACTGAAATTACGAATTTAATCGAAACATTGCAAAAGTAAATTTTTTGTAGCAAATAAAGAATTGATAATATTTATTATTTTTCCGGAAATTACGAATTTAATTGAAACATTGCAAAATGTACCTTTTTGTATCAAATAAAGGGTTGATAATATACATTATTATTATTTTCCCAACTCAAAATTATTAGATGGTCTATGACCTCATTAAACATTGACCTCATTTATGGCACGTTGATGCATAAGGGCTGCTACACACAGTGCCTAAGCCTCCGTACACCCGGCGGCATACAAAGCCGCCGGCCTTGCCGCGCAAAGGAGCCGCCGGGGTGTGCCGGCGGGTTACGCGGCTTGCCGGCGTCACTTCGTTCCTGGCATTCGAGCGGTAGTGTTGTGCGGTTTGTGTGTTTAAACAAATTAAAATGTCGTTTAATTGGGACGACGAAGCTGTGCTGCTTTTAATTGAAAAATTTCATGAAAATGATATATTATGGAATCCCAGAAATGCAGACTATAAGAATAGGAACAATCGAATGGACGCATTGAACATAATTGCAACTGTATTTGACATTGATAAAGGCGAAGTAGAGAGAAAGTTAAAAAATTTAACCTCTCATTATTTTCGGGACAAAAAGAAGTTCGAACAGTTGCATAAATCTGGTGCAGGCATAGACGATGTACAGAAACCCAAAAAACATGCTATTGCGCAAAGGCTGACACCCCACATCATCTTTTTTATACTCTTCTATCATTACAGTACCGTTCCGCCATTTTCTATTTTGTAAACTTGGGTGCAACCAAATCCTTCTCGTCCTTTTGTATTTTTTTCTTATTAAAATAAAAATTACAACTGCGGCGGCTGTGCTGATGATTTCCTTATTCATTTTAACCAACCAGCCATAAAATATGCACTTCACTAGCGTTCTATGTGACTGTCACAACCGGAATGATGCTTGGCGGCTTTGCGCGGCTTGTGCCGGCGACTTGTATTGCCGACGGCATAGCCGCTCGGCATAAACCCGGCGGCATTGCCGCCGGCACTGTGTGTAGTAGCTTTAAAGGTTCGCCTACCCTGTTATATGACATAAGTGGTGTGCCAATTAAATTCCGAGAATTTGTCAATAAAAATCAAGTAAATCAAATTTTACGTAAAATTTTATTATCGGCCTTCACAATAGTCTCCATTTAACTCTACACATTGCTTACATCGCTGCTCCCACGATTCAAAACAGCCTTGTTAATGCCCTGAAGTTAGCCCATTCAGCACCTTCGCTACAACTGGTTTCACCTCCTCTATGCCACCATGAGGTGTGACTCCATCTTAGGGAATAAGAAGTCGCAGGGGGCAATATCGGGGCTATAGGGTGGGTGGGGCATCGTTGGAATGCCCTTTTTTGAAAAAAAGTCTTGCACAATCAATGAGGAATAGGACGGTGCGTTGTCGGGATGCTAGATCCAATTTTCGAACCATCTTTGTTCATATTTAGCTTGTCAGACAATGTACGAATGCTAAGGAGCTGGTCAGTTATTATCAGAGCGCGCAAACGGTCGATATTTTCGTCGGTACGAGAGGTTACGGGAGGCCCTTCACGTGGATCATCTTCTACTGATTTGCGCCCCTCTTTGAACCGTTTGCCCATTCAAACACGCGTGTCTTTATACACCACCTGCAATTTTCGGAAGATTTCCGAGGGGTTTTCAAAAGATTTCACTAAAAATTGGATTACAACACGTTGCTTGTAATGTGAGTCACTCATTTTCACGACGCCACTCAAAAACATTCCTTAAAAAAAAACACCACGAAAATCCATGCGACTCATTTCTGTCACTCTATAATAATAATAATAATAATAATATGCCTTCATTTGATTCTTTTACAAATGCATATTAAGGTGAGGTACTAAAAATTTAAATTAAAGAATCGAAATTGCGGAGTGTTACCTTAAGGTATTTTTCAACTCAGTCTTAAAATAAAATTACAAACATGAATAAGAATAGAGTCGTAAGGAAGTCTTGGTAATTTCGGGAATCCCTTTTTGAGGGATAAAAAAATGGGGTGTTGCAGTGTAAGAGAGCATAAATCCCAATTGTTAGACGTTAGTAGATCCAGTGGCGGCGGAGTTACGATGAAAACAAAAAAAACGCCGTAAAAATTGGTGTGTGGGGTTTTAAAGAGGTATGGTATATCTCTTGGCGTTTCTAACTTGTGTGCCAAATGTAATAATTTATGAACTGCCATTTTTGTTACATTGTGATTGTGTGAAATATTCGTTATGTATTACTTCATAATGAAGGCGATTTTACTTTCAATTATGATTCAACATTCATTGAAATATTCAACCTTGCATCAATCAATAGAAATTATCCATTAGTGAGAATACGCCTTTAACAAATTGATGGTCGTCTACATGGAGGCTATATAACTTGAGTGGTGGAATACCATGGTGCCATGCCATTTTCCTCCAAATTTGGGGGATTTTTACTTAGGGAATTTTTGGGGGTTATAATGTTCTGGGGGGAAAGCATCCACCCGTTGAAACAAATCATTCCATTAATTAACTGTGATTATGTCCATTTGAATACAAAGTAGTATCAGAATATAGTCAGAACAAGCAAAATATAAATCAAAAACAATATACAAAACTACCAGTTGATCACATGGAATATCATGGAAAAAATATTCCTCTATGAAGTAAAAATGGTTTCTACAAATATTTTCCTTACGTCTCATAAAGGCAGTTACATTTCCCATCGATTTTACATACATACCTAGGTAGCATATTAGTCTGCGCAAAGTAAACAGGACTTTTGAAAGATATTCGATACAAGTAGCGCCATCTATTAGCGTTAGATAGGTACATCTTTCATTGATGCCCTGTCAAAATTCCATAGATAGAATCACTTCACGCAGAGTTATCGCGTCCAAAGTGACAGTACCTTTTTAGCAACGGTCGAAAAATGAGCATTGAACAAAGAGCCAATATTAAGCTCTGTGTTAAACTTGGTAAAACATTTACCGAAACACATCAGATGTTGATGCAAGTTTATGGTGATGATTGTTTATCTCGTAGCCGAGTTCACGAGTGGTTCAAATAGGTTCGTGAGTCGCTGGAATACGACGAACGTGCCAGCCAAAATGGGTGATTACACTCGAAATCGAGAAAAGTGCGTGAATTTGTCAAAAATGATCCAAAATCTTCATCGATATACATAGAAATTGTATTAAATATCTATCCATCGCATTTTGACCAAGAATCTGAGCATGAGAAAGGTGTGTGTTCATCGTTGATCCGCACAAGCTCACGGATGACCAAAAATTGATTCGATTTCAAGATTCGAGAGACATCATTAAAGAGGTCAAAAAAGACAATCACTTTATGTAAAACATTGTGACTGGTGACGAAATGTGGTGTTTTAAAAAAAAAGCCGTTTGTAAAAGTCCAAAGTGAAGACAAAGTTGATTTGTTTCTACGATTCCAAGGGAAATATTCACAAATAAGTTGTTTAAACGGCCCAAACGGTTAATGCTGTGTTTTATCTTGGTGTTATGAGCCGTTTGCGGTCGCTTGTTCAACCAGAAGGAAGCTGGCTCTTGTTACTCGATAATGTACCATCTCATCGATCGACGCTTGTGTCCGATTCCATATTCTCCTGATATGGCACCGTGTGACTATTTTCTGTTCTGTAAACTACATTTGGTTATGAAGGGACAGCGGTATGCCGACGTATCGTATAGGCCATCCAAAAGGCGTTAACGACGATTTTGAAGGTCAATGAGCTAAAATCGTCATTCGAAAATTTGTTTGTACGTGCAAATCACTGTATTAACTCTGAAGCAGATTATTTTGAATACAATAAATTCGATTTTCTGAACCAAAAAAATGTTTGTTCATTTTTTCTTTGTCCTGTTTACTTTGCAACAGACCTTGTATACATTTTTACAAGCATGATGTTTGGTCCTTTTGATATGAGAGCATGCTGAAGGATTGAGAGCTGCAACTTCAGGTTCGGACGCAAGTTGTATATGATAACTATGTATCTCTTTGAATATATCCATATTTCACTAACGCCCTCTTCCAGACTGTGACAGAACTACGAAACCGTCACGCAAAAGGAGAAATCTCAGCCGGAATCAATGTTCGTAAAGGAGCGATCACTGATATATTGGAAGAAAATGTTGTACAGCCACTCTTGGTCAGCACCTCTGCATTGAGTTTGGCCACAGAAACTGTTAGGTCCATCTTGAAGATCGATGATATTGTAAGTACCTAATTTAACTCTTCATATTTCTGATATTGCAGTGGCGGCAATATTTAATTTTGTTGCCGTTAGTCGGCAAAACTGTCAAAAGTAGATGGGAAAAAAGACAGATGTGATTGAAGAGTAAGCTGTTCTTCACTACTTCTATTCCATTTTCAACCTAACTAGCGCGATCTAATTCTGGCTGTCCAGATCTTGCCCACCCCTTGAAGCCAACCTTTTGACAATAAAAAATTAACTGTTTTAACATAATGGAAGGTGTCTTAGTGAAGATTAAAAATATAATCTGGATAAAAAGTTTCACTATGTTTCACTATGGGTATGATATACAGAAATCCATATTTGTGCAGTCATTAAGACCATACAGCACCAATTTCTAGGATTTTATTAAAAAAGAAACATCGTATGGTTTTGTCTATACTATCCTGGCCGTTGAATAAATCCCTAGATGTAGATGAAAATACGTACTAACGTTTAGGCCACCTCGATAGCCTTTTTCCGATCAAAGTCACTGTCAATATCAAATGATATTTTTTGCAGTTCCATCTTTTACACTGTACTTTGAAAAAGGCTACTGAGGAGGCTGAAACAGTAAATTTTTCAATCTGGGTTTCATTTTACACAGAGGAGGCTGAGAAACAAGTAAATCCTGCAATTTAAATGAAATTCATTTTCAATCTCATTTTACATCTTTTGCATTGTACTGTGAAAAAGTTCACTGAGGTGGATGAAACATTAGTAAATTTGTTAATCCACATCTATGGTTTTAGTCAACGGTCGAGTTGGAGCAAATTCAGGATGATTTGTTAGATTCAAATACTCTACTGTTTTCTCATATGTTTTTTTTGTAACTGTTATAACTTATTTTACAGGTTAATACCATGACATAAGAATTCTTGCAGTCATCACTCCAAAATAACTGCCATGAAAAATGAAAGCACAGCCTTGACTGGGTGATGTCGTGGTGAACATTAATATAGTATTACACACATTTTTACACAATTTACTATAACCTTATCAATGATTTTCGCTGTTTTCCTATGTTTGAACTGTTCAAGTAGATCTTGAAGTGTTATTACCAGAGGTGTAACGCTCGCTATTTAACAAAATAAATGACAAGAATTGAAAGAGCTTTTTTATCGTCGTGGAACAGCAATATTTTCGACGGTACCTCCATCAACCAAAAAGTGAACGAATCATTTAATGACAATTTACCTCGCATTGTAAAGTCACAAAGATGTACCTTTTACTGCTTCGCCGGATCTTCTGTTTGAGTTGACTTGCAGTTAATGTTCACGTACAAAAAATACAGCGTTGTTTATTTGTTCTTATTTTATTAGTTAAGAATAAATAAAAAGTATTTCACAGAATCAACGAAGTTTAAAATAGGTATTTATAACTTCTTATAATCTAATCATATTAGCAAATTTCCCCGAAATAATTGTAAAGTCTGGTTTTATTGGTGCAAGTTATTCAAGGGGCTATTTAAAACATGGACGCATAAAATGGGTACACCAATTTTTGTGAGAAAACTTTTTGTTTGACAACCAAGAATGAGAAAACGTGTTTTTTGGGATTCAATTGAAAGTATTGACAGGAACGAAAAAACTTTTCATATATGATTTTTATGAGACCAACAAAAGGAGACCACACGTAACAATATCAAACTAATAGCAACAGTGTTATGGCCGAAAAACGAGGCAAAATGCATGGAACTTGGTAATGCGACGCTAATTTCAGGCAACTACTTGAAATTATAATATATTGGTCAATTCTTTTTTGAGAATTTCTGATTGTTTATCCCAAAACATGTTTTCTTGCCATCACTACTAGTTTATTGAGCAGTATACAGGGTCCGTCTAAAGAGCATTTAATAGCAAAATACAGGCGTTTACCTTGCCGATATGAATTCCGAAAGATAAATGTTATATATTTTTATGCGAAAAACAAGGGTTAAATTTTTTCTTCTAAACAAATTCAAACATTTTGTATTTGTGAGTAAATGAACAAATGCGGTACGATATTCGAAAAACATACGTTACATTTTAAAACAAAGCGTTGCAAATTACTCACTCAATTACGAAATGTTTGAATGTGTTTAGAAGGAAAAACGAAGCCCATCCTTTTTTGGATAAAAATAACATTTATCTGCCGGAATGGTTTGCGATTCATATCGCAAGGTAAACTATTGTATTTTGATATAGAATGCCGTTTGAGCTCTGTATATTGCTCAATAAACTAGTAGTGATGGCAGGAAAACAGGTGTTTTGGGATAAACAATTAGAGATTCTCAAAAACTACTTGACCAATCTACTCCAATTATGTTGTGATTATTTAGAAGTACGAATCCTACGAATTTGAAGAATTTCAAATATCTGCGAGAAACCATCGTCCCACACCAATAAGTGCCAAAACCTGCAGTTTGCCTCGGTTTTCGGCCATAACTTTTTTGCTATTCGATCTTTTTACGTGAGGTCTCATAACTACCTATTAATCTTATATGAAAAGTTCTTTTAGTTCCTGTCAACACGTTTTCTCACTCATTGTTGGCAAATAAAAAGTTTTCCCGCAAAAATTGGTTTACCCATTTTATGCATCTATATTTTAAATACCCCCTTGAACAACTTGTACGAATAAAAGCGGACTTTAAATTTTTTTCGGGGAAATTTGCTAATATGATTAGACAAGCTTAGTTTACCTCACATTGTCAAGTCGCAAAGATGTACCTTGTACTGCTTCGCCGGCTCTTGTGTATGAGTTGATTTGCATGTAATTTTCACGTACAAAAAATACAGCGTTGTATGTTTGTACTTATTTTATTAGTTAAGAATAAATAAAAAGGATTTTACAGAACCAACAAAGTTTAAAATATGTATAACTTCTTAACTATTCACAAGAAAACCGTAGTTCGTTCGACTCATTAAACTTAGATGCCTAAATTTGCTACGTATTTTACTATTCCTTGGCCTTAAGCTGAATAAGTATCTGATCCGACACCACCTTCGTAGCTCTCTCCGCATTCGGAATAAGAAATCTGTCCATGTCTGAGATCTTCAAATTCTCTCCATCTGGAACTCCATATTTGAAGGTGATCAATTCTGGATGGCGTTTTCGTGCTGTAATCTTCACTATGGCAGACAATGGCCGCTTCACTATTAGCTTGAATGCAAAAAAATAGTTGATGTATACTAAGTGACATATAAATCCGAACACCCAGTTTAAATGGTTTTATTTTAATAAAAGTTGGTGAATGTATTTATCTTACTGTAAATAACAAGTGAAAAAATTTTCAGCCTTATCAGTTGGACATTCCGGTTTTTATACTGCTTTTTTTTAATTCACTAACGCTCTAAAAATGAATATTTCAGCCGCAGTAAAGAATCAACGTTGGCGGATTTTAGTTCTTGACATCCTTTACGATCGGTTACGATGCCTAGAGTACGGAGACCTGTACGATTTCGTCAACTTAGTGAGTTTGATAGGGGCCGTATAGTGGGACTTCGGGAAGCTGGACTTTCTTTTCGGGCAATTGCAGTTAGAGTGCAAAGAAGTGTAGACACTGTGGTTAGGTGTTGTCAGGCATGGCTTCGAGAAGGCCGTACGCAAAGAGCAAGGGGCACTGGACGCCGCCGTAGAACAACAGACCGTGAAGATCGCCGCCTAAGATTAATGGCCTTAAGGGACCGTTTCTCCATTACCAGGTCCATTGCAAATGAATGGTTTGCAGAACACGGAAGACCTATTGGCATGCGAAGTGTTTACCGACGAATGGGAAGTTTTGGCTTGTTTTCATACCGGCCACACTGGGTCCTCCCTTTAACTCGAGAACACCGACGTAATCGCCTTGAGTGGTGCAGACAACGGTCACTCTGGGATCAGGAATGGAACAGTATTGTCTTTAGTGACGAGTCTCGAGAATGTGTAGCACATCAGGGTGCATCCACACATTATTAAAGGTCAAAGGGCTTTAAAGCAGTGCAATTATTTTGAAATTTTTATCATTTACTTATTATGCTTCATTAAGCACTTATACAAAATTTTATTAAAATAAAACCATTTAAACTGGGTGTTCGGATTTATATGTCACATAGTATATTTTCATTAAATATGTTGATGAATCATTTAGAAAACCTCAATAAGTACTTTCAATAATTGATTTACCTCTGCAGCACCCTTTGCATCTGGAACTTCTCTAAGTACTATTAATTCGGTGCGAGTGACGATCAAATGACTCTTGTACATAAAACCGTTCAGTTTTACCTCTTGGCACGGAAAATGCTCGATTACCTCTGGTTTCCGCAAATATTGCTGGATTTGGACTAGTTCCTGTTCATCACTGTCAGTGACATGCTAAAAGGTCAAGAAGTCAAAATGAGTTTAAAAAAATGTTTAAGTCATTATTACACACAATATGGAAAATAGTGCATAATCTACTCCGTCCCTATCGAACCAATTGTTTAAAAAAAACACTACTTTGCCAAATACAAATAATTTAGTGCAATAGTTTTTAAAAAATTCCATCGATATCCTTTATAGTCCAGGATGAAGTATCTTCGCATCTGATCGGAAAAATATTCTGATCCTATCGCAGGCAGAAAACTAAATGCCAGGACACCGCGGGTGCTATGAGGAGCTTAAAGAAACTTGGTTAATCCAATTTTTGAACTGCCTAAGGCTAGTAGAACTGGGAAAAGCATCCTCATGTATATTGTTGCACAATCTCGATACCCTATGGACAAACAAGTGATCGAAACGGCCAGTTCTGGATGCACAAAGTTCGACTCGGTTAGGATCGGAGGCTGAAGTCAGGCGGGTCTGTCTGCGGTAGAAGAGAGCTAGGTCGTTGACGGCCCGCCGAATTAGTCGGACATCCCTCTGAACATCGAGCATGGATAATGTAGTCGGAGCGGCAGCACCCCAAACACGTGAGTAGTACTCGAGGCTAGGTCTTATCTGGGCCTCGTACAGAGGAGGTCAAGTGGAGAAAAGTACATCTAACCCCAAAACAAATAGTCTAGCTTTTTTCCAGCAGCTGCCGCTATTGACAAAATGTGTTCCAGATTAAGTTCTCGGTGATCTCGACTCCGACCAGCCGAAATTAACGACTTTTTGGCAGAACTCGGCCATCCCTCGAAATCGGATTTCACCAAAAAAAGATCCCCTGCATGCTGTCAGGAACAAAATTGCGACAAACTTTTATCACTTTTTTTGTTCTTTGTATATTCTAAACAAATTAGCTTCCAGTTATAAGCGATTCAAGTTTTCAAAAAGTGACTGTGCCATTTCCGAAGAGCAATGTGGAAAATTGAACATAACATTTTTCCATAGCATTTTAGGAGGTATTGTTATTGTGAATCTTTGTTTTTACCAGACTGCCTCAGAAGCAGAGATATTCTTTCACGCGTGGGTATGTATGTATCCAAAAATTCTATTTCACTGAGTACGGGCCAAACGGCTTGATGGATTTTGACATATGAAATATCGTTGGATTCATCTTAGCATAAAATTTTATAAAAACAAAATGGTGGATTTTAATTTGAAAAGTCAACCATGAAATTCCTGTTTCATGGGCTTGATGGATTTGGCATATGAGGTGTAGCTGGCTGTACGATAATAATACCCCCTAAAATCCCTTGGAATTTTGTTAATGGATATTTGAAGAACATGTAGGAACTTCGGCAATATTAAAATTTTCGATTTTCATATTGTTTTTCGGGGTCGAAAATCGCATTATATAAAAAAAAACGAATCAGAGTATTATCCTGGCAGATGTGAAGATGATTCCTGGACGGTAGGGAACTTGATTCTCTGTAGAGGAAGATCATGAGAATTTTTCGTATAAACTTGTCACATTATTTTACGTATTTTATAACGTTCCGGCAAATTGCGCAAGTTAGTCAAAGTATAGAACATAAGAATCCAAGTCTAAGAAAGAGTAAAACATAACAACTACGTTCAAGTGACACTAAGCAACAGGTGTACAAAGCAGTCTATTAAATGCCCGAACACCCTGCAAATATGTCAATCACCCATTCTTTGGAAAAAAGGTTCTAAGAAAAGTTTCAAGGTATCAATAAAACAATTTGGCAATGACCTCAGAGGCTACCTTGTAAACGATGCTACTCTATCTGACGATTTGCGATTCCAGAAGTAGCCGTGCCTGGTATTTTTTCTATGTGCCAAGTTTCACTTTATAGTGCGGCACACTCGTCCCAAATCCTCAGAGGGTCTTCATAGCTATTAAACCGCTCACTGGGGGTATAACATCATTTATCTCGATCTTTGCATGTATAGCCTCAAGGGTTGGTATCTCATTCGCTGTCGCCATTTAATTTAATGACCTTTCGACCCTTCAAAAGGAACTTTGGATCATCAGTAGCTCCGGTTTTCTTCTGTTCATGCACCACCCTGTGAACGCCTGTCATGCTTTCGCAACGCGCTTGTTCAGTGCCTTATGAAGATTTCTACTTGTTCACTGGCTTCCAGTACTTCCACTCCTAGTGTCACCCTCCTTGGTTAAGGAAATATAAGTAAAACCGTTTTCCTTTTAGCTTCATTTTCACATGCGGAAACAGTGCGAAGTCGCAGGGAGCAAGATCTGGATTGTAAGAAGGATGCTCAATAAGTTTCAGACCAGTAGTGGTCAAATACTCGGTGCAGGCTTTGGCGCGCTGAGCTGGAGCGTCGTCATGGTGGAAGTACCAAGAGTCCATTCTTAAATTTGGTCGCAGGTTTTTCATAGACTCTATGACTAGGCAGGCACTATTCCGTGTACCACTGAGTTGTGACTGTCTTCTGTGAGTTCAAAATGACAAGCTCCACAATCCCGAATTTTCTGACAGCTACGGGTGTGTCCTCGTCATCAAAGATCCAAACTTTGTTTTGAGCCTTGGTCGGATCATCGTAATAATAGATCCAAGTCTCATCACCTGTCACGATGCTGTTCACATACCGAGACTGCCCCTTATTAAATATTTTCAGCATCTTTCGGCACCAAGTCGTACGAGTCTTCTGCTCTTCCGTCAGACTTTGCGGTACACAGAGAGAACAAAGTTTCCCTACGTGTAAATGGTCATGCAGAATTGAATGAATTGCTGGTGCATGAAGGTATAAGGTCTCCTCTATCTGTTGGTATGTTACGCTCCGGTCTTCGTCAAGCATTTTCCTCACAGCAGTAATGTTTTCCTCGAGTTTGCAGGGAGGCTCTGGATTGCCTCGCACCGAGGCATCCGGTATCGTTAATGTGACCGCGCATAGAGCTAGGAGGAAAATGGAGACGTGGATTGCAAGGCAACACTCTCAGAAATGGAGAAGTATCTCCAGTCATCTCCGCCAGGCACGGGAACTCATTGAAGGGCCACTGGCACTGGCTAAGGATGGACGTTTCTGCTTATCTCTGGATAGAGCCAACCTTGGGTTGCTGGTGGGACTGTTGTCTGGCCATAACACGTTAAGGCGCCACCTGCACGTGATGGGGGTGGCTGAGGATCCCTTGTGTGAGCGCTGCGTGGTAGAGGAAGAGACCTCGGCGCACGTTTTGTGTCGCAGTGAAGCTCTGAGCTACTATAGGCAGACTATACTGGGGTCCATTACTTTGGATCCTCAGGACGTCAAGGAGCTTGGGCTCAAAGCGATTCTCAACTTCGCTAAAAGGGCCCGTTTAAGCGGCCTATGCACTGGCTCCTTATGGTTGCCGGAATGCCTCTAATTTCACGATACATTCATTCAATGTTTTCCTCTGTCACTGACGTTCGCGGCCTTCCTTCCCTCCCAGCGTCCTCCAGAATGAAATTGTCCCTTTGGAATTATCTGCACCACCTGAATATAGTACGATGAGGACAATCATTCTTTGATGCAAGCGTCATCTCTTCTAAGCACTGGTCTATGCTTAAAACACGCGTAAAGTTATGCCGTAAAACTGCCCTTATTTCACTAGGTGACCACGATGTCATAATCCGATACGAATGAACAACTAAATCAACAGACGTGCTGGCGGCTACTATGTACTCATGGACATGTCTCGACATGCAACCTCCTGCGTCCGTTTGTTAAGTCATATTGCAAAACTTTTATAGTACACTTTGTTTTCGCTGTTTGATGTCGTTAAATAAATTTACCTGAACTGTACCACCACTATCCTGATCATCATCTATACTAAAAACGGGAGCTACGTCTCGATATCGCTTTCCTATCTTATCAGTACTGGATACATGCCTCTCCTGTACTGGGGTGCTTGGATTTGGATTTACAATGTAATCTATCAACCTTCCTGTAACAAAATGTTCATATATGTCTTATGTAACTTGGTCAATGCGTTTATTACATTAATAACATTGAATTTTGAGCTACTATGAGCATATCTGTCGACCACAGCCTTTAGGCATCGATAATAATAATAATCGTCTTTATTGGACGAAGTTTAGCTTAAGCTATTCTGCCATTTAACCCGTAAAACGTCTATCCACAAAATAATACAAATAAAATAAAATATACCACTAAAAATGCAGAGGTTTCGACATAGAAACGAAATAATGGAGTAAAACAAATCAAAATTGGTTAAAAGAGAAAAGTATAACATTATATATACTTATGGAATGATGTTAATGCATATGAACAGAAGTGAGAGATAAATTGATGTTGATGATTGCTCGAAAATGATTTTATTGAAATTCGCGAAATTTAAAGCTTTAGTACCAGATAGTACATTATAGTAGCATTATAGGCAAAACATTCTGTGAGGATGCATTGTTATTGCATCAATAAAGCAAATATCTCGTGAGTGCATAAAATTACGAAATTTCAACTTACAAAAATGGGGGAACTGAGGTAAGTAAAAGCTTATGTAAATATAGTAAATGATAACCATTCCAATTTTATGAATGAGGGGGTAACTTGGTCATATTTTTCAACTTATAGATTAATCAGAATAACATGAATTTTTAATTTTTTTCAAGAGCTTGTCGGATACTGAATCTAAAAACAGATGATAAACAATGTCGCAGTATGAATTTTTTTAAATAATTATTGATTCACAGATAATTTTTTATTTTTGTCATCGAGAATTTGTGAAGAATATTTGGCAAAAGTACCAAAAATCAACTTTTTGAAACATTGTACACAGAGGAATAAAATTCACACATTCATATTTTTCGTTTTTGTTTATATAACGTGGTAGCTGTAGTAGTAAATGGTGTCTCAATAAGACCGCACGATTTGATTTTCAAGAAAAACACAATTTATTTTCGATTAAGCGAGAATTTATACTATTTCAACATGAAGAGAAATAGTTGCGATTAAACATGAAATAGGACATCCGGTAAATGGTCACCACGAAACCTCTGGCACACGATCAGTCTTTTTTTAAAATTCTGGATAACATTTTCGCACAACTGTAGCTCTATTTCGTCGATAACGCGCAATATCTGTTCTTTAAGGCGTTCAACTGTTTGTGGCTTGTTCTCATACAGCTTTTCCTTCACATAGCCCCAAAGGAAGAAGTCCATTTCCGTTAGATCGCACGATCTTGGTGGCCAATTTTGATCGCTAAACCGAGAGATGACACCATTGCTTCGCGTGCTGTGTGACAGGTCACACCGTCTTGTTGGAAGAACATAATTATCCTCCACATCAATTCGATCGAACTGAGGCCACAACACTCGGTTAACATTTCGCGATACCGCACACCATTAACAGTTACCCCAGTTCCAGCTGCATTTTCTAAAAAATACGGTACAATCACTCCGCCACTCGCCAATGCGCACCAAACGGTAACTCGCGGCGGATGCAATGGTTATTCGATTATTACACGAGGGCTTTCAGAACCCCAAATTCGACAGTACCCGTTCAGTTTAAAATGTGCCTCATCGGAGAAAATGATTTTCTTCAAGAAATGTGCATCAATTTGGTGGTGCTCCAGCGCGCAATCAACGATTTCACGGCGCTGCGCATGGCCCGTTGGCTTGAGTTCTTGCGTCAATTGAACCTTGTGCCTATTCAAGCACATATTTTGTCAAAATTCGTTGCAGAGTGGGTCTGGTAAGGTTCAATTCCTGGCCACGATGCCGAATGGAAGTGCCTGGATTCTCGCATTGCGACCAATTTTTGAGGCACCGACCACGACATCTTCACATTCAGCAACGAGCATTTTGTCTCAAATTTTGTAACTAAACGGCGCACTGTCAAATCATTTGGCGCATTATTGCGACCGAAAATTGTACGTCATTTGGGAAATGTTTCCGCGTAATTTTCTCCACTTGTGTAGTTAGTTTTCACAATAATTAAACGTTGCTCGTTTGAATACTTCTATGAAGAAGTATTCAAACGTCTAATCGCATGGTCTGGACATGATAGCTGTCATCAAGTAAACACCATACTATTTGTACAAAAAAATGGCGGAAAATTCAAATCCGGCGCTCTTGTTGAGACACCGTTTAGATGCTAAAATGAAACAAACTAGCTTCTCGAAGGAAAAAGTACGCTCATATATAACATCTAATTTGTGCACTAACCTTTTACCTCTGCCGACTTTGACTTCATAGCCGCCGAAATTTTCCCGAAAAGATCCGACGACTGCGACTGAGCTTTACCGCCGCCATTTTGCTGCCTTAGCTTAGAATGGTAGGCCGGTGCGCAAACGACGCAGTTCTTGGGATCGTGATCCTGCAGCACCGCGTCTATATTGTCAGCGAAGTAATCGTGGAGTGCCGCATACCCACCCGTTACCAACGAAACGTACTGGGTGTGCTTCTGGAGAAAGGAGGCTACCACCATGTGCGTGTATTGGTCTTCTTCGTTTCGACCACTGCCCAGGAAACACAGATGTTCACCACCTGGAAGTAATAGATATAAAAAAATGGAGTCGGTAGATCAACTCATGTCATCAATTAGATTATGTTCGATTTATTTCCAAACCTATCGCACAACAAAATGAAATAATTTCAGCACACAGTCTTAGCCTTCTATGGATTGCCATATTTATTTACTTTTTCCATTTCTGAATCACTGACCGTCACTCCGTTTAAGAAAAAATTAAATTTTTAGCAATGAGAACTAAAAAAGATCATCACAGGGTGTAGATTTTACAAATTTTTCAGATTTTTTTAAACCTATAATTTGAAAAGTACACTATTAGTTTTTTTTATATATTTCTGATAACTATTATGACTTGGCCTATCCCCCATTTCCGACTTGACGTCGAATTTTGGGAAACCCTGCATATAACAAGAAAATGGCGTCAAGTAGGTTGGCTCTCCACATCCCACGTTACGTTGTCATCAGTTCATAAAGTATTACTTTAAGCATACGTTAGCCCCTCCGAGGAAAAACTTAGCTACCAGCATGAATAACAACAAAACTTAAATGGATCAAGTCATGCAAACAGTCCCATGTCTCGACCATCTGGCAACGTTTCTGAACCACACCAGTCAACCACGTCGCTATAACATGACTTGGTGCAGGTTGCCCTACGATGCGATGCGACCGATAAGCGCTGCGTCTGTTGGAAACATTTCTCGAAGTTTCAAGGGAGAATGTACGGGGAAATCTATGTGTGAAATATGTGCTTACAGGTACGGGTATTGGAAGCGTATAAATACAACCCTACCATTTTTTGAATGATCAGGAACCTTAAAAAACCGATATTTGAGCTATTTCATGTTTTGATTTTTACCTCTAGCTCCGCCGCCACTGAACCGATCTTCAAAAACAACAAAGATTTTTGGTCATTGGCATATTGCCATACAAGTATATGGGCCAAAGATTACCGGACGGAACTGATAGGCATTTCAATGTAGTAAGACCACATTTATGAAATTGAAATGCTCCCTTAAGTCAATAAATTTAAATAATGATTTGAAACACAAAACAAATTGAATTTTAATAATAATGTAGACCAATTGCTTACTCAACTAGAAAGAAGAGCAAGAACAATTAATTACACGGTAGGGAAAAGCACAGTTTTAAGTAGTTACAAACGGTACTATAAAAGTTTTGCAATATGACTTAACGAAATGACGCAGGAGGCTGCATGTTACTGCATGTGGAGACATGTCCATGAGTGCATGGTAACCGCCAGAAGCACGTCTGTTGATTTAGTTGTTCATTCGTATTGACAGTGTAAAGTGCTTAGAAGAAATGATGCTTGCATTAAAGAATGATTGTCCTCATCGTACGACTATATTCAGGTGGTACAGAGAATTCCAAAGGGGAATTTCACTCTGGAGGACGCTGAGCGGGAAGGAAGACCGCGAGTATCAGTAACAGAGGAAAACATTACTGCTGCGAGGAAAATGCTTGACGAAGACCGGAGAGTGACATACCTACAGATAGAGGAAACCTTACACCTTCATGCAACAGCAATTCATTCAATTCTGCATGATCATTTACATGCAAGGAAACTTTGTTCTCTCTGGGTACAGCCTAGTCTAACGGAAGAGCAGAAGAGTCGTCGTACGACTTGGTGCCGAAAGATGCTGAAAATGTTTGATAAGGGGCAATCTCGGTATCTGAACAGCATCGTGACAGGTGACGAGACTTGCCATGCCGACCAAGGCTCAAAACAAAGTTTGGGTCTTTAATAATGAGGACCCGTAGCTTTCAGAAAATCCAGATCTGTTAAGAAAAAAATGTTAGCTGTATTTTTCAAATCGAGCGTGTCGTTTTGGACACACACAAGACAGTCACAGATAAGTGGTCTGGACACTTGATACCTCCACCATGACAACACTATAGCTCACCGCACCAAAGCCTGCACCGAGTATTTGACCACTACTGCACTGAAACTTATTGAGCACCCTCCTTACAGTCCAGATCTTGTTCGTCGCGACTTTGCACTGTTTCCGCATGTGCAAATGAAGCTAAAAGGAAAAAGGGTTTCTGACAATGAGCACCTTCTGAGGGCTTGGGACAACGAGTGTGCCGCATTCCCGGGTGTACTCTGACTTATTTGAAAGTAGATTGAGATATAGTGTGTCTTTTCCCAAAATTGTTTAATTAAATTGCTTATTCCACAACAATGAACTTTTAGATATACATATAACTAAAAGCAATCCCAGAGCTAGATGCAGACCTTTATTTTTTAATCCTAAAATAAGGACTGACGTATCAATGTTAATATTTTCTTATTTTTAAAAATAAATCTAAATCCGAGATATGGAATATAAATTACGGTATTAGACGAAAACAAGATCTTAAATTAGTAGTATCTAAATTCAACATTTGTGAAAGACCTCAATCATTTATAATGGCCTGAAAATGTACATGTTCCTCCCTAAAGTCATCAAAAGAATCAACAATTTAAAGATATTTCACTGTGAACTTAAAAGCTTCCTTATTCGTAAACCATATTATAGTATGTACCAAGTAAGTTCTACAATTCATTTACTTTGTAAAAATAAGTAAAGGTATTTTAATCGCCAAGTAACGACATTTTTGGTATATAAGTGTTTTCAGAGTGTTACATAAACCAGTTTTTTAAATATTCGCTTAAATCCTCGATTTAAACTTGATAATAACACAGGCCGATGAGATTTTTGCGCAGAAACCAGAGTATGCAAATGTTTTTGACGCGCTGAACACGAATACCATTCAATAACCACCCAGTTCACCTGATTGGTATATTTTTTATATTTAAACAAAGTGTGCAATCAAGCAAGAGCGTTAACTCGTGACTTCATAGGGTAGGGAGGATGTGGGAATGTGATTTGGAAACGTTTTAGATATATTATGGGTTTAGTTATGAGTTTTTTATTTATTTAATAAAAATACATACATAACAATACAAGTTGTTATTATTTTTTTGGTTTATTATAATCCAAACAACGACTTTGACGCACACGTAATCATAACGTGTCGAGTATGAAATATAGCAATGTTCGTAAAAATTAACACTTCAAAGTGCTATAACTTAGCGAAAGAAATAGATATTTAAGCAAATTCAATGGCATTTGGCAAGGTTTAAACTTTAGGGTGAAGTTTATGGTTTTTTGAAGAAAAAACTCGCTATGATACATAACCTCAAATCATAATTTTTGCACGTTCAGGTTAGGGTTCCCCGTAAAATATACCCTATTTCACGAGTATCCATCACGGTAGAATGACAGCCGATCATCTAGTAATATCTAAAAATTCCCCATATCGGCACAGGACATATAATTCTGACAGATCATTCAACGTCAGGTAGTCAGAGCCGAAATTTGTTTTGGTTTTTTCAAAAACAAAACGCTACCAACAAGTTTTACTAGATTTATACCCGATTCATTATTGCCAACGTCGCAGACTAACTACAAAAATGTCACTTCACCTCAGTAGACATCACAGCGTGATGGATACTCATGAAATAGGGTATAGTGCCAAGTGAGATTCGGACAACGGAGTTTGATCCAGTACATAAAAAACATTCGGGAATGCTGTGGTTTCTGGTTAAGAGGTCGATTTACTTTTGTCGGCCTGTGTAATCATGAATTCGCCAAACATTTCCAACTAACCTGCATTAGATTTGTGGGCCAAGGCTTGCCTTTGTGCACTCAGTAATCCTTGTACGGCTGTCGCGAACGCGCCAGGTTCCTGCAGCATCAGATTGCAGTCCAAATGGAAGGCCGTCGGTAAATGACCTGCATTGTAATGTTCGATTGGACGGCAGTCCACAAGGAAAAATCGAACTGCGTCTGCGTTGACTGGGACCGTTTGGTCATTTCTGCAAACGGTGTTGTCCACTAATTCCTGGACAGATACTGGGAGGCATAGTGCTTGAGACACCAGTAAAGAGTCGTCATTCTGAAGAAAAAGATATGAGTTAAATAGACCGTGTATTTTTCACGCAGCTTCTGATAGTTATAGTAATGTAAGCTCGTCAAAACGCAAAAAATAATAGAGACAAATTGGTAAGATAAGATTGTAGAATTGGTAGGATCCAAATTTTTAGCTAATATCCATTGACAAAAAATAGAATTGGGAACTTATGCAGTTAGATAGAGCGAAAATGGTGGTTCAGCTAAAAAATGTCACCACGATATTTATTCATGGTTATTTTTGTGACAGGCCGGTGAATAAATGGTAATAATCTGTTGTTATTTTTGGGAAAATTCACAAAACTGAAATATAGGCATTCTTATTTCGATTTAAATGAACAGAATTTAAAAAATGCAAAATTAACCGTCCTGAGGAGCAAGAAAATAAGCAAAGAATATAGTGCTTATCTTACAATTTTCTAAAATTGAACGAGGCAAAAGGGCGAAAATCTGCAAATTGTCTATCATTTTTTTTTAAATCGCGGCTTACACCATCTGTAGAATGGCTGACAATTTTCAAACCAAAATAGGTATTAATGACTACGTCCGTTGTTAATCCCTGACCAGTCGTGTTACAAGCATTTTTGTGTTGTAATACTCGTATATTTCTTTTTTAATGTTTAATAGATTTACAGCCACTGGTAAAAGATGTCTGCCAAGAAATCGCAATAGATTTATAGAAAATTGTAATAGGAGATTTCAAATTTATACTGTACCCTCTATTTGCAACAACACAGTAGATGCCGCTTATATTGATGATCTATAATCTGCAGGCAAGCCTGCATACACTTGTAGTCATATTGACATTATACTGACCAATCAACGAAGCACATACTGTCTTTTTCACTATTAATTACGGTAGAATAACACCTAATAATCTAGTAATATTTCAGAATTCCCCATATCGACAAGTGACACACAATCCTGACGGATCCGTCAACGCCAGATAGACAGAGCCGTATGTTATTTTCTTGTATGCTATGGATTAATTTTGTACTTGCTAACAATTCATTTATTTAGAAAAGTCCCTTTGAAAACAAAAAAGCTACAAGCCAAACGGAATGAAATAAGATAACCAGTTTTGACTTTGTTAATCATCTCTACTTTTTAGAACTTTAAACATCATAAAGGACAATGAAACAGCCATCTCGTATTTGAATTACGGCAAACTGATTATGGACAATTAACCCGAAACGCGTGTCTATATAATTTTCACATATAAAATTACCGTTACTGGAAAGGACAACAGTCTGATCTATTGACTTACCTCATAATCCATAAATACCAGATGTACTATAATAATTTTCTAATAAACATTTTTCTATGTGTACTTCGCATATTTTATTGTCATAATTCCCAGTCACTAAAAATATCTAGATATGTGAACAACAGCTCTGAAGACGGTCCTGAGTTTTGCCAGAATTACACCCGATTCATCATTGCCAACGTTACAGACTAATACAGTATGTCGCTTTCTGATCAGCTGTTCACCTCAGTAGACGTCAAAACCTGAACTCAGTATCTGTCACGTTGCCAGTAATGAATCGGGTGTAAATCTAGTAATACTTGTACACTTGTAGCGTATTTTATTTATTCAAATGATCGTTTCTAAATAAATGAGTTGTTAGCGAGTACAAAATGAAACTGTAGCGTACAAAAAATCAAAACAAAATACGGCTCTACCTGGGGTAGACGGATCCGTCAGAATGATGTGTCATTTGTAGATATGGGGAATTTTTAAATATACTAGATAATCAGCTGTTATTCTACCGTGATGATACTCGTGAAAAAGACAATAATGAATACTCGTGAAGTAGGATTTAACCAATCGAGTTGAGATTATGTGATATGCATGTTGTCAACTGGCTGATATTTCCCGCACTTGATGGTGGCCATAATGGCTTGACTTGAGAAATGTCTAGCTTGTAGATGTTATTTTTTAATTTCTCCCGAATGGTTATGTCAGTAAATTATAACCTGTACAAACAAACAAGCTTTCGTGATTGGTATGCTCTGGGTGAAATACATAAAACGAAAAAAATCGGCCAGGGCCAACTATTTGTTTCACATTTTAAGTGAACTATAAGTTATCAAAAAAGAACCTAACCATCTGTGATCCACAGTATCAGTACATTGCTTCGCAGCTATCAGAAAAAAATAGGAAAAGTAACAGAAGCCATGCACATAGTATAGGTAATACAAATGATCTAATATCAATATATCTATTAAAATTGTAGTAAATGGAACAACACTGACTCACCTTTCCACTGTAAATATTTTGCATCAGCTCATTTCTAAACGACACCGGCGTTTTCAGAGCATAATACTGAGCCAAAGTACAGAAATCCGAAACGTCATCAGCTTCAAGCCCACAAGGCATGTTCGCCAGTGTAGTGATGATTTTTTCTTTCTCTTCCTCTTTCATTGAGATGATCTGATCTCTCGCATTGATCACCATTATGAGCGAAAGGAAGAATACAAAAAAGGGATCGGATTGCTGGAAGTAGTAGTCCCACATGTTTATTACTACTTCTAGGCTAGATGTGGCGGCGAACAGCGATTGGAACCATGTTAGGCAATACTTTTCCGGCGTTATACGTTTTGTATCTGGAAAAAGGACACAAATTGATCAAGGTATTCCACCTGTTGATAGCCAATCATAAACTGTATTATGGGGTCCAAAAGGGAAAGGTACTAGCGCCATCTACGAGACAGGAGCAGAACCCAAAAAGGACTTTAGAGATTTTCTTTGAGAAGAGTTAGTGTTTGGTTCTGCCACTGTCCCATAGATGGTGCTATTAGGATCTTTCGGACCCCTTTCAGGCATCTCACTCAAATGCTTATTTTATATGGATATTGATTAACGCAGGGATGGCTACTTTGATAAAGATCGATTTTTAAATCGATTAGAATCACAATCTAATTAATCAAGTCACAAAATATCAAAGTCTTATACATCGATTTTTTTAGGTTTTGTAATTACAATATAAATACACATTAATTTTATAGAAAGCAAGAAACCATAATAACCGATCTCTTATCATTAAAACAGGGATTACTTTCGTTCAGCAAACTCAATAATTACAGTTTTTTTGCAACCATACCTAAGTATCAGATATAAAATAATAATAATGTTTATTGGTCCAATTACAAAGTTTTCGTATAAATAATAACGGCAATGTCCAATAAACATAATCTACCCAAAAAAGTGAACACTTGTGCTTGGGTTTTAACCGAAGTTGAGTTATATTAATACAACAAATTTTCTTTAAGTATACTAGTGAAATGTGTAAATTTGCATCATTTTATGATCAAATAACATATAGGTTTTTAGTGTCAACAAACTTATGGATTTGTAGCCTTGGTTGATTTAGGATCCATGATTTTAATTCTATTTAAAGGTTTTTTACATTTTACATGTTGAAGGTTAGCAGGAATAACATTATAAAATTTTGAGCATAGAAAATAGAATGATCTTTGGCTGATAGTTTTATTAAGTCTAGGAATTACTGCAGAGGTTTCCTTGAATCGCGTTTGATGGTTGTGGCTGATAGAAAGTAACAATTTTGGATTTTTTGTTAAATATATTATTGTATGATAAAAATAAATTTGCCGGCAGTCGAAAAGCTGAGATTCATTGTAAAGATTTTCTTAGGGATAACATTTCTTTTTGTTCAACATAACTTTCAAAATCCAATTCTGCGTAATTTCAATCTGTTTATAATAATTATTCATGACTCCCACCCATGCTAAAATTCCGTAAGATAGTAATGATTGAACAAGGGCATGATATATCATGTGTAGATATTTTTCAGTTAAAAAACTGCTGAAATACTTGACTTTCGGAATAAGGTATCTTAATTTTCTTACTAAATTTTCAATATGTTTATTCCATCTTAGATGGTTATCTATCAATACCCCTAGGTATTTGAAATTATCATCCGATTGTATGTTTCTACAGCTATTCAACGTTTTAATTTGGAGTTGATTAAAATTTGGGGAAGATCTGTTGTCGCAAGAAAATGTAATAAAGTATGTTTTGTTGAAACTGACTGTTAAAATCCTTTCCATGAAAAAATTTGTAACCTTTTGAAAATCTAATACAATTTTATTTTTTAAAGAAGTCCAATCTTTGTCTGAGTAAATAATTGCCGTATCGTCTGCGAAATGTCTCCATCGTTTTTTAATTTAAAAAGGTCATTAACATATAAATTGAACAGCATTGGTCCTAATACGGTTCCTTGTGGATCTCCGCATCTAACAATCATATTTTCACTCAGTGTACTGTTGATGTTCACACATTGTGTCCTGTTTTCCTAATAACTTTTCATGAGTTGATAAGTGACTCCACGAAATCCTAAATTTTGCAAGGTTCTTAATAATTTTTGATGTATAATACTATCGAATGCTTTGGTTAGGTCTACAAAAAGGCATGCTGTTTATTTATTATTATCAACGTACTTGTAAATTTTGGTTGTTAACTGTAGAATACGTATATTTCCTAATTTTACATTAAAACGTTTAAAAAGTATACCGCTTATAATTCTCAACGCTTTTCAAAAATAACAGTATGTCAAGCCTGCTGGGATCCAAGCGGTTCCGATCATCACTTGCGAGTTTGCTGGCATTTGAAAAAAGGCGTTCACAAGGTACAGATGACCCCACAGTACTCATATATGTATTTTATGACTCCTGAGTGAATGTGATGGTATGATTGCCAGTAAAGCATCGGATCATACTTCCTCGCTTTTATCTTGTGGACGTTCTTGCTGAGACTTGATATTCAAAACTGAAGTATTTTCTAGGTCGAAATATCGATTCAGCGGATCGATTCAATACGATATCGATTCAGAAAATCGTTTTTTTGTCCAAGAAATCGGATCCCCGTCCCAAGATTAAAGTATTTCACCTGACTTACGTATACAAGGTGTTACTTAATGATAGGCCGTACTTACAAGGGCGCATTCCTGAACAAAATCTAAGTAAAAAAGTTTAAGAAAAAGTTGTTTTTTTTAGTGATATGTCAAAGTTCCTTGTGCCGATTTTGTTGAAGTTTGGCAGTGTTGTTCACTGCAATAAGACGCTACGTTAGCACTAACAAGTACATAAGAAGAATAGAGCCTAGTCCATTAGGCATCTAATGATAAAAAATTATTGCTTGGTATCTCTTTGTAGATTACTTTACTTTCAGGGGAAAATATAGACAACTTCATTACATGCCGAAAAAGTTAAAATAAAATCAACTTTGATTGTTGCTAGGGAATGCTGTGCTGTTGTAAAGAACATATTTTTGACTATCCATGATAGGTTGCTATTGTTTCTTCTCTGTCAAAAGGTTTATTGACGACCAGTAGATTGGAATATAAGAAATCTATTGAGAATCTCATGTAGAATTCAAAAATTGAATAATATACAGAGTGCTCTTTTCAAGATAATCAAGTTGGTATCTATAGATTCAAGGTTTTGTGGAGGTTATGTCACAATAGCATGCGAAATAAGTAAACAGATTGACAAATGATGAGTAATTTCTACTACTATCCAACATATAAACGTACCCAAAAACGAACACAGCTCTGGATCATGGTACAGCAACAACAACCTCAAAATATGAAATGCATTTCCGTCCGTCCTAAGACTCTGAGGCACGTAAGTGTCTTTGATGGCTTCGAACAAATTGTAGGTAACTGAGCGCGGCATTTTTAGCGACACTATGGGCAGCAGTAGTTCGATCCATCCATTGTTACGCTCGTAGGGTACGTTCCTACTTTTGCAGTAGAATGTGAGGATGGATTCCAGGTCGGATAGAACTGAAAGTTTGTCCTCCTCATCGTTACCTAGTTTCGATACGAAAGTGTTGCAGTCTTCGCGGAGGACGTTCTGGTTGGGCAGATCGAACACTTCATTGAAGTGGTCCAGTTGGTTGCCTTTATCTCGAACGTCCAAACAGATCTGGAAGAACAGGAAACATCAAATAGGGTGATTCAACAAACTGTGGCAATATTGTTTTAGCAGGAAAATTGTCCTTTTTGAAATGGTAGTGACAATGGGCTGCAATGTCATCAAAAGTAATGCAATAATTGAGATACAATTCAATACCTTATTGGTGTTATTGTACATATACTGAAAACCACATACCACTGATGTCGTAATGTGTACGAGAGAGAAGCGCGAGAAGCATGCCATACAACGCCCATACGTGTGTTAGAAAGAGATAGACACACCTCATTGCCTAGCGACCCGAGTAGGGGGTCACGGATGCCATCGGCGCACTCTTTCTAGCATACATATTGCACGCTTCTCTCTCTCGTACACATTACGACGTCAGCCAAATTTGAACCTCACCGTATAGTACTTACACATGACACCTGCAATTTTATAGCATACATAGCAGGTTGAATGCAGATCGCATAATATGTGTATTATAGGAACTATGTAAAGCGCCACAATTTTAATGGATGTATAAAAAGATACATTAATATAATAAGCACGATGAGTAAAACAATAACAGATACAACACATATAAAAATTTAAAATCCAAGAACTATTGGTACGGATAAAAAGCATTTTCGGCAAAAAAACTCGCATACACATGTGCTTCATAAATATATAATGAAGGCAATGCAAGTATCCACGATTCTTTGAATGTTTGTAATTTTCTATGTACTTCAGTGAATACAATATCCTAACTGCCTGTCTTTGTAAAGAGAATAGTCGATGCCAATCTGCACCATGACCCCACACCATATGATATTAAAGGGTAGAATAAAGCAAGGTCTTGAATAATAATATACTAAGAGACATATACATCCGAACACCCAGTTTAAATGGTTATATTTTAATAAAAGTTGGTGAATGTATTTATCTTACTGTAAATAACAAGTGAAAAAATGTTCAGCCTTATCAGTTGGACATTCCGGTTTTTATACTGTTTTTTTTAATTCACTAACGCTCTAAAAATGAATATTTCAGCCGCAGTAAAGAATCAACGTTGGCGGATTTTGGTTCTTGACATCCTTTACGATCGGTTACGATGCCTAGAGTACGGAGACCTGTACGATTTCGTCAACTTAGTGAGTTTGATAGGGGCCGTATAGTGGGACTTCGGGAAGCTGGACTTTCTTTTCGGGCAATTGCAGTTAGAGTGCAAAGAAGTGTAGACACTGTGGTTAGGTGTTGTCAGGCATGGCTTCGAGAAGGCCGTACGCAAAGAGCAAGGGGCACTGGACGCCGCCGTAGAACAACAGACCGTGAAGATCGCCGCCTAAGATTATTGGTCTTAAGGTCCATTGCAAATGAATAGTTTGCAGAACACGGAAGACCTATTGGCATGCGAAGTGTTTACCGATGAATGAGAAGTTTTGGCTTGTTTTCATACCGGCCATACTGGGTCCTCCCTTTAACTCGAGAACACCGACGTAATCGCCTTGAGTGGTGCAGACAACGGTCACTCTGGGATCAGGAATGGAACAGTATTGTCTTTAGTGACGAGTCTCGATTTTGTTTAGGCATGCACGATGGTCGTGCCAGGGTTAGAAGGCGACGTGGTGAAAGGAGGAATCCACAGTTTTTTGTTGAAAGACATGTTCATCACACTGTTTGGAGTTATGGTTTGGGGTGCTATAGCTTATGGTTCCAGGTCACCTTTAATCTTCATCAGAGGTAACATGAACGCGCAGCGTTATATCCACGAAGTTCTAGAACCCCATCTTTTACCCTATCTTGACACACTGGCAGATCCAACTTTCCAACAAGATAATGCCCGACCACATGTTGCAAGAGTCACAATAGACTTCTTTCAACATAATGATGTCACATTGTTACCATGGCCACCAAGATCTCCCGACTTATCCCCAATTGAGCACGTGTGGGATATGATGGGTAGGAGCTTGCTCAATTTGCAACGTCCTCCTCAGACTCTAGAAGCACTTCGAGAGGAGTTGGTGGTTGCCTGGAATGAGATACCACAGGAGGACATTGACCACCTGATCAGAAGCATGCCTAGGCGCGTTGGAGAATGCGTAGCAGATCAGGGTGCATCCACACATTATTAAAGGTCAAAGGGCTTTAAAGCAGTGCAATCATTTTGAAATTTTTATCATTTACTTATTATGCTTCATTAAGTACTTATACAAAATTTTATTAAAATAAAACCATTTAAACTGGGTGTTCGGATTTATATGTCACTTAGTATAATAATAAATGGCGTTTATTTTACCTGGCGGGTTACATCATCAAACCTGTTTTTCAGAACCAGCCAGGGCTAAAAACATACAAGTATACGCAAATAAAAAAAAATACATAGACGATAGTAAGAAAATTTAAAGCAGAAAAATTTTTTTACAGCATCGTAGCCTAGGCATGGTATAATGACCAAAAGATAAACGTGCATCAGCATAGTGCGTAGCAGAACCAAAAACCATGTCTAGAAATAACTTCCACTCATATGATAAGCTTCTATGTAAATAAATGTATTTTTTTTTAGCTTTTGCTGTTTTGTCAATGTGCATGTCCCATTTCAATGTCTTGTCTATGAGTATCTTCAGATATTTTGTATATTCTGTATGTTGTGATTCTAGATCATATAATGAAAATATCATATTTACTGTTCTTGTTCATTTAGGATGAGCTTATTTGCCTCAAACCCGTTTTTGGCTGTCGACTGTGCCATCGCAGCCTTCCCAGGAAGCTCAGAAACATTTTGAGATCTAACAGATTGTAGTGTCATCAGCAAATAGTATATAGTTTTCATCGTTGTGGTTCGGCAAATCATTGATGCATATGAGAAACAAAATCGGCCCGAGTACTGAACCCAGGGGCGTTCAATATATTTTTCATCTGGTGGCTTATTTCCAATTTTTACTAATTGATTTCTCAAATATGGATCGTTTTGGTTGCAAGAAGCTGTTTCAAAATTATTCATTCTGAGCGTCCTGATTAAAATAGAATGTGATACACAGTCAAATAGTTTGCTTAAATCATAGAATATGGTCTGAAAGCATTCTTTCTCTTCCAAAGCATCAACTATGTCATCAACCAACTTCAAAACTGCTAAGGTTGTATTTTTTCGACGTCGAAATCCAAACCGGTGTAAATAGAAAATGCAGTTATTTTCAAAATGTAAGACGATTTGTTTTACCAAGAATTTTTCATAATTTTTGCTGAAAACAGGAAGTAATGATATCGTCGATATCGCCAGCAAAACTAGTATTACAACTGCACGTTTTAAGCAGTCCGGTAATATGCTACATTCAATGCAAGCACTTATTGATTTAGTTGGAGGAATTAGGATTTGATTTTTGATCATTTTTATTAAAATAGTGTTCATATCATAAATATCTTTAGAGGTCTTTCTTTTAACACGTTCGCTGCGACCTGCCTCGCGCCGCGCGCACAGTAGCGGCTAAACGATTTTAGGCGCTGCACAAGCGAAGCGCGGATTCGCGTCGTAAGCCTATTGGATGTGCGTTGTGTAATTGAAAACTATTTCATATATACATTTTCTTCTTCTATCTCGTTTTTTTTTCGTGCAGTAACACGAAACATGTCTTGAAACCCTATTAAAGATGTTTCTTTAATTAATTTCAGAACACCACAGTCTTGTGAGTTTATATCAGCCAGAAGCGCGGATCCGCGCCCGCCGCCTTTCGTTAAACATCGGTCGGACGCGGATCAGCGTCGTTCGCAGTGAACGTGTTAAGAGAAATGGTAGCATCTCTAATATCATTAAATGATACCTTTTTAAAGCTTGTAACAGTATATTTCGTTCTGGATGTAGCTCACCTTCATCAAAGTTTTCTAACGGTTTATTGGCAATAGAGTAGGAAAATTCGTTTACTTCATTTGGTTCTTTTGATGTCTTCATACCACTAGTTGTATTTCTTTTTTTTTCTATCAATTTCCCACATAGTCGTCGTTGGGTTGTTAGATCTTTTAATAATTAGCTCATACTTTTTTGGCTGCATTTATTTTTAGTTTATATTCTTTCTTGTAAACAGTGTTTTTATATGTTCTCTATGAACCAGACGTCGACCTTGAAATTCGTAATCAAAGCATATTTTTTGACATTGACAGTTTGATCATATTCCACTGACTGATACAAATAAAAAAAAGGTTTGTAACCAATGAGAACCATAAAACAAGTTATATTTACCTACATGAATATCTAGTAAGAAAAGTGAAATGTTCAATATATATTTGGTGGACAAAAACATACATTTTTATAGTTTCTTTCACTGTAACCATCATATCGGCATTTACTTCATCATTGTTGGTTCTAGATAACCTACTTTAAGGTGGTATCAAATTAGGCCACATAAGAGTGAATTCTTGCAGTAATCTAATATTTCTCTTATATAGTTTATTTGTTAACCATAAACAAAAAAGAAAACATTGTATATTTATGATTTTTACAGATATTCCTTCAACTTAATTCAAGTTCACTAGTTCAGTAAAGATCTGACTATATTCTCTTACTGGGCGAGGAAGTATTGTAATCGCAAAAAACTTCGAAAATGAGATATATGACATGTACATCACGAAAAACCGTGTCAATCATTTCCGAAAGTCTGCCTCTCTGTCTGTCTCTATGACTGTCCGCTATTGGCCCGTCTATAACTTGAGAAGTACTGCTGGGATTTTGATGAAATTTTCACACTAGATTGCTGCTGTGCCTAGGACGAAAAAGTTTGTTGACGTTTCAGAGGGTCCTGATCATTTTCAGGATTTTTTTTGTAGTGGTTGAAATTCGGGGGTTGTATGTGATGGGGGAGGGTTATGAAGCTTTTCTGATCTTAGAATATTTATACGCTTTCAGTCCCAGTAATTCAATACACATATTAGCACATCGTTGATTTGCCGGTACATTTACTTTCAGAGCTAAACAATAGGACTACTTTGCCAAATTTAATCCATTTAATCCTCTGTTGTACATGTTCGTCACTGACTTTTATCTCAGAGAACTTAAATTGCGCTGAACTTAAGCTTAACGCTGGCGTTGCGCACGAAGTATCCAGTTCGCCTACTTTATGTCATTTTTTTCTAAATGTTGAAAATCTACAGAATACTAGGCCAGTAGTCGGGGGTGTTTTCAAATCAGGCTTGCGACAATTTGACAATGGAATTTTATTTTTGTTAATTTTGTTATCCATTGTCATTGCACTGTGCTATTTGAACTTGAGTCTGGTGTTGCAAAAAGCTGGTCAGTAATGAAGAAAAAGTTACCATTTTCAACTCATACTCCTACTTTGTCATCTGCCATTTTGTTGAAAGGTGAACAAATCTCGAATGTGCCATTCATTGTCACATGGTCACAGCTTCGCGAGATTTTTTCGAATGAAGAATGTAGTATATAAGACTCATGAAAGCACACAACATTTTTGTTATCTCACATGCAACATTGACCATTCAACATTTGTTATTTGATGCAAAAAAATATTGGTTTATTGAAATATCTACTTCCATCATCCCTAGTGTAAGAGTATGCAAGTTGATAATTAATGAATGACATAAATAGAATGTATAAGAACTAGGTCAAACTTCGAAAATGAGATATATGACATGTACATCACGAAAAACCGTGTCAATCATTTCCGAAAGTCTGCCTCTCTGTCTGTCTCTATGACTGTCCGCTTTTGGCCCGTCTATAACTTGAGAAGTACTGCTGGGATTTTGATGAAATTTTCACACTAGATTGCTGCTGTGCCTAGGACGAAAAAGTTTGTTGACGTTTCAGAGGGTCCTGATCATTTTCAGGATTTTTTTTTGTAGTGGTTGAAATTCGGGGGTTGTAGGTGATGGGGGAGGGTTATGAAGCTTTTCTGATCTTAGAATATTTATACGCTTTCAGTCCCAGTAATTCAATACACATATTAGCACATCGTTGATTTGCCGGTACATTTACTTTCAGAGCTAAACAATAGGACTACTTTGCCAAATTTAATCCATTTAATCCTCTGTTGTACATGTTCGTCACTAACTTTTATCTCAGAGAACTTAAATTGCGCTGAACTTAAGCTTATTGCTGGCGTTGCGTACGAAGTATCCAGTTCGCCTACTTTATGTCATTTTTTTCTAAATGTAGAAAATCTACAGAATACTAGGCCAGTAGTCGGGGGTGTTTTCAAATCTGGCTTGGGACAATTTGACAATGGAATTTTATTTTTGTTAATTTTGTTATCCATTGTCACTGCACTGTGCTATTTGAACTTGAGGCTGGTGTTGCAAAAAGCTGGTCAGTAATGAAGAAAAAGTTACCATTTTCAACTCATACTCCTACTTTGTCATCTGCCATTTTGTTGAAAGGCGAACAAATCTCGAATGTGCCATTCATTGTCACATGGTCACAACTTCGCGAGATTTTTTCGAATGAAGAATGTAGAATATAAGACTCATGAAAGCACACAACATTTTTGTTATCTCACATGCAACATTGACCATTCAACATTTGTTATTTGATGCAAAAAAATATTGGTTTATTGAAATATCTACTTCCATCATCCCTAGTGTAAGAGTATGCAAGTTGATAATTAATGAATGACATAAATAGAATGTATAAGAACTAGGTCAAACTTGAAAAATGAATATGAGATGGAATGGATCCAAATGACTAAAATACCAGTAAAATCCTGCCAAAAACAATAGATCAATAACTTGTATAAAAACAGAATAACATATATCACTTGTGTGACATTTCATATTAAAAAAAGTACACAGGCAAGGATAAATTGAAGATGTAGGTACATTCAAGCTTGATAAGCAAGTCAAAACTATATAAGCATTTTAATATTCATGAATATCTGATAAAATTAAGGGTATAGTACACTCTGCGATGTAAAGTTTGCCAGTCTTTCATATACAGTAGAAATTGTTTAGTATGACATCCCTTATAATGACCTATCATTTATCGGCTAAACTATATTTATTCCTGTATATACACCTAAGGGAAAACCGTATAAAATGACATCGGCTATAAGGACATATCACTTAAAGCGACGTTTCTATTATGATTCACTTAACAAAAATATAGGCTACAGTGAAAAACTGTCACTTTTGCCAGTTAAACCTCGTTAATATTACACAATATTTTTTTTGTGTCTTCGTTCAAAAATTGAATATTAGTCTCAACCGTACTCAATAACAATTTCTAATTTTTAATGAGAAATTTAGCCGCCCTTCAAAGCAGGAATGTTTGACATATACAGATAAGGAATATCAATGTGCATACCAAACTGACAAATGTAAAAAAACAATGAAAAATTACTGACTTTTTCAAAAAATAAGCCATGTTCTTTGTGAGTAGGCCAATATATTCTATATTTTTATGTTTCTTACATATGTATGATAGTACATAATATGTATTTACATAATGTTTTTTAATTTAGTTACTGTTGTATATAGGTACTAACATACATACCTACTTATATTGGTGTTAAAGCCTTGAGATGTTCTAATTTAATCATTATTTAATTTACGAGTTTTCTTTTGTATTAAATTAATAGAATTGACCTTTATATACCTAAAAAGTGGATATAACGACTTCCTTTGAGAGGTCGCCTTAGGGACGTTGGTTTCTGTCAAAAAGAAAACTTTAGATTACTCATTATCAACTGTCTAGTTTTGGAATTTGCCAACCTGTATGAGTGGAAATCATATCACAGCTTCTTTTACAAAAATATGCTAAAAAATTGTATTTTTTGAGGTTGAGTATTTTTTGTTTGTTCATTATTACCTGAACTGTTAGATCTGTTCATGTTTCATCTTCCACTAATAACTGTTTGTGAAATTACATATTTATTTAAGGATTATCTCGAGAACCAAAAATGTGTTAAAATGATAAGCCAACCATGGTATTAATTGTAAGATTATTTTTCTACTTTACCTGCCATATTTCTGCCCTCAAATTTTCTGGTAATGCTTTTCCTTTACATATGCAATAAATATCCGTAGCAGAACATTCTTCTAGAAGTGCGTTTTCCAATTCGGCCACCCTAAATAGGAATGATAAAGATAAATATGGAAAATCAGTACAAATATGCTAGTTTAGGAATCTAGCCTTATAAAACATTCTTCCTAATCCATATATTAAAGGCTGAATAATGATATATCTTAAAATAGCCAATGTTTGGAATATCTTACCAATTTCCATCTTCAGAATGTGCCATTTCTGAACTATAGGTGCATTATTTTCGTTGTTTATTAGGGTTTTATTAAAATGTATTTACAAAATCAAAAATCAACCAACGTGTCAAATGTGTCAGCTGATAAGATGACAATTTGTTTTTGACAGATTGTTGCAGATTTCTGCACATATCATACTTCCTGGCACAATATTTACCATGATAGATGGCGCGCAAGAAAAAGGTGCACCACCTATCTAGTGAGGGAAAACTAAAATAATCTTATGTGAAATTTACACAGTGTTCCAAATTCTCTAAGCGAATGGACAAGTTTACAAGTTTTTGTTGAAATTTTAAGAAAAATGAAACAATTATTGATTTATCTTTAAAAACAAAAAGTTACAGCCTATCGAATTGCGCCCCGCGAGATTATTTTTATTTCGTCTGAACGTGACGCGTGACGTCACACTGCACTATCCAGTTGCGACGGCTGCGGCCGACTCCTGGGCCCGGGCCGACTAAATTTCCTAAACGCACGCATAGGTACACACACACACACAAACAAAACACGTACAACGGGTGGTAGGGTAAACGACTTCCGTGCCAATTTATTTAGTTGACTGCATATACGATCCGTTATGAGCGAAATAACAAAAAAAGTTGTTATAAATACTGTATCGTTCCAAAATGTACGAGCACAACAATTATAACTCCAAATATTTTTTCTACGTACCTCACATCAAAATTACAGGAATCTTTCCCTTCTGAGCGGGGCCGTGGCAAATGCTTGTTCCGCAAATTGTTGTATATAGTATACAACTTCTTCCCATTCAAGTGATTGTACACGCGTTAAGGAATACCTCAGTACCGATTCCCGGATGACGGTACAAGACCAATGGGTCACTTTAGGTTTATTTGATATCATTAAAACGCAAAAAGAAGGTGGCAGAGAAGGCCAAGTCGACCGAGGTGGTACCAGTCGCTAGCTTTTTCCAAGATGTCTTATAATAATGTCCGGATGTTTCCACACCTAAGCTACGCAGTCGGTTATTTTCCCCAACAAAGAAAATAATGATGATGGATCCCTCGAGTACTAAGAATTCCGGAAGTAAACTCACTCCACTCTCGGAATGTCCGGGTGTAGGGTGGACTCGAGGGAACAACATCGAAGATAAAAAGATTGATGCTGTTCATCACTACCACTTGCAATCCAATCGTCCCGCCATGCTTTTCTTCGCGGATACTCGTACAAAAATCTCAGAGTCTGCACCGATTAGCCATCTTAGCTTCCCAAATTACGAGGTACACTCCAATCTGAGAAGGAACGGGGGAGTTGTGACTTTCTTTGGAATCAGACCGGAAGGCATTCTGTGGCTTCGCCTCAACTCCAAAACGTCCCCCGAATTTATTTGCTCCCCTTATCGCTCTCCCTCGGACCAAAACTGGGATGACCTACGTGTATACTTCGCCGTCAAGATCGACTTCCTGAACATCAATCATTCCGCTTCAGAGGCAGTTCTCCTCTGTGATTTCAATACCCATAATGGAGCTTTGGTTGGGCTCAAACAAAACCGAAGCAGCAAGGGCTGACCCAGCTGGTGACGAGCCCTACTTTTTTCCCCGCGCCTCGTCACATGCCAGTAGCCTGCTGACTGTCTTTCTGACCACGCATCCTGTCCCTTACAGCACTGCTGTCCTGTCCCCCCTGGGTAACTCAGACCACGGTGTTGTGGAGGTTAGGTTTCGGTCAGAACCCGCTGTGGCAACAGAAAGTCCCCAAGCCCGCAAAAGGCATTACGGACATGCCGACTGGGAGGGCTTAGAGACTTCTTGCCTTATCTTTCCTTGGAGAGATCTTTGTTTCGCTGACGCGGATGCGTCGGCTGTCTGTTCTTCGATAACAGAAATTATCCTCGTCGGGATGGAGGAATACATCACTCATACAGTGAAAGTGCCTAAACCATGAACTGTAACGGCTGGTTCAACAAATTGTGTGGCACTGCCCGCCAGCAGAAAATCAAGGTACACAGAACCTTGTTACAAAACCCCACTGTAGAAAACAAAAAAGCCGACGTCGAGTCCAGAAACAAATATAACGAAGCGGTTAGCAATGCCAAAAACCAGCAAAGTTAGGCACAGGGTAATGTCGCAATGGCAGTGGGTCTTTCTGGACGCTGGCCAAGCAGATTGAAAAGAACTTCTCACACAGTAGCCTTCCACCACTTACGTGTCAGGATGGGACGAGGCGGAAGCGCTTGCCAAGATCTTTGCTGCCAACTCCACCATGGACGTGCCCCACAACGCGCAAGTGTCGTCGATTCAAAGGGTTCCCTACACTATACAAGAAGTAATTTCCAGACATAACACCGTAAGACGGGTGCCCTTGTCACTCGACATCAACAAAGCTTCTGGTCCGGACTTGATTCCTGCATGTACTGAAGAGGTGTGCAGCGGAGCTTGCTTCAGTTCTTTCGCGTCTCTTCCAGATAACTTATGAATCCGCGACCTCCACAGACAACTGGAAATTTGCTCATGTCCAACCCATCCCGGAAAAAGGATCTAAGACCGACCATTACAACTACAGGCCTATAGCTCTGTTATAAGTAAGGTGATGGAGAGGTGCACAGATCGCGAGATTCTGGACTACCTCGAACGTCACCGTTAGCGACAGGAAGTATGGTTACCGGCACCAGCGATCCTAGCTTACGTCACGCAATTGTGGAGTAAACTCTTCCAGTCTTATGGTGAGGCTTATGTTGTTGCTCTTGATTTCACGAAAGCGTTCGATCAGGTGTGGCACGCTGTTCTTTTAAGCAAACTTCCATCCTATGTCCTCCCAGAAAAGCTTTGCAGATGGCTCTCTGGCCGCAAGATATCCATCGTATTTGACGGTTTCTCCTGTTCATCCCACAACGTCAACGCGGGTGTTCCCCAGTGATCGGTCTTGGCTCCGACACTGTTCCTCTTACATATCAACATCCTCATTTCCTGCAGGACAGCTTCGCTGATGAGAACACTCCACATGCAGGAATTCAGAGTGACAAGCCAATCTCTGCCTCTGAGCTAAAACAAGAAGCCTAGCGACGACTTCCTCTCTGACGAGAGACCTGGAGGTTATACTGCTTGGGGATGCAACAATCTTGTACAGTTTAATGCTTCCAAAACATAGTAATGTGCCTTCTAGCGCTCATCTTGTCAATAGCTGTAGCTGCTGAGAAAAAGCTAGGATATTTGGTTAGGGCTAAGAAGTACTTTCCTCCGCATGACCTTCTCACTCTATACAAGGCCCAGATAAGGCCTAGCGTCGAGTATTGCTCACACGTTTGTGGTGCCGCTCCGACTACATTATTTATGCTCGATGCCGTCCAGAGGAAGGTTGTCCGACTGATCGATGACTCTTCTCTAATAGACAGTCTCGGACCCTTTCGCACCGGCGGACCGTCGGCGATCTAGCTCTTTTCTACTGCTACGCCAAGGGGCGTTGTACCTCAGAGCTCTCTTCCATGATGTCGCCGCGCGATGTGCCTGCAAGGCAGACTCGCCTGACTTTGGCCTCCCATCCTAACAGTGTATGTATCCAGAACTGGCCGATACGACCGTTATTTGTTCCGAAGGTGTCGAGATTGTGGAACAATCTACAAGAGGAAGCTTTTCCCAGTACTACTAACCTTATGCGCCAAATGTAAGAATTAATTATTAATAATTCTTTCACTTTACTTATGCAATTCTGAACATCACGAAATTTCTCCATTGTTGGAGTTGTTACCAGTAGTTCGACTTTCGGACTCTGCGAGTTCAAGTGAAAACCTTAGATATACAGGGTCTCCGCAAAGTTGGGGTTTTCTTTTACACGACGTGTAGATCTTGAAAACATAAGCAATTTTTCTTAGTACCATATACACCAATGTCTTAAGGGAACCGAGATAAAGGGCTCTGCAACATCAAAAATATCTGAATACCGTCCTGTAGCCGCGACTCGCGATATCCCCAACTGGTACTAGGACACTAGCTCAACCCGACGACAGAACTGGGTCGGGGGTCAGGGTCAGTGTGTCAGGTCAGTATGCAACCTTCAACCGACGGTTACGGTCACGCTTGTAGAGGTAAACGAACTTGTACAATCGATTGCGTTTCAAAAAACAACAAGCACTAGAGAAGTGCAAGTATCAAAAACTAAAGTGTGACAAACGCTGCGTGAAGAGGGGCTGTATCCGTTTCACGTCCAACGTGTACAAGCCCTTCAACCTGACGATTTTCCAGCAAGAGTGTGGTTTTGTGAGTGGTTGTTGCATCAACATGACAATAATCCGGACTTTTTGAAGTGCATATTGGTGACAGACGAATCTACGTTCACGCGTAATGGAGTGAATAACTTTCACAACACTCATGTTTGGTCAGTAGAAAATCCGGACGCTGTCCCGCTGTCCGTCGGGCACATTTTCAACAAACATTTTCGGTGAATGTTTGGGCTGGCATGGTGAACGGTAGGCTCATTGGACCATTTATTCTCCCAAATCGATTGGACGGGATGCAATACCTAGACTGTTTACGTCTGCTCGGTAGCGCATCAGCTGATTTCATTTTCTGTTGGAGCGGTATGATTTGGGACAAAGACGTACTTAGCCCTTCTCGTCAACTGGAGAGTGAGTACTTTTTCCTTTATTTTTTTTTACTTGGTCGCCCTCGTTTCACTACACATTACCTTTGTTATTTTAAGGGTAGTTATTTCTGAAAAGGAAAACCCCAACTTTAAGGAGACCCTGTAGTGCAGTCTTATGAGCAAATAGTCGAGAAGTTTCATAAAGCTATGGTAAAATATTCTAGTTATGGGTGAACTAAACTAAATAAAACAACACCACAAACAAACTATAAGGTATGTATTTATCACTGCATTTTTGAATCACAGAAAAGTTCTATTTCATTAGGTTGATTCAACAAGCTGACAAACAAAAAGATAAAATATCAAATAACCATGATTACAAAAAAGAATAAATATGATCGACTATCTGGATATGTGCTAAAAATATATTAATGGAGTAAAAATATAAATCTGTATCAGCTTACAGAACCAACATATAATATATAGGCACAAAGTTAGAACAAATATTTTTGAAAGCAAGCTGTTTTCAAAACCAGTTATCTTAGTCTATAGGAACAGATTCAACATTTATATATTATACATGATGCAAGTAATGTAAATGATAAACATACTATTTATTATTTGTAAGGTCCAGTTTTCCAATCGCTGGTTAAGTTAGGTAACTATGACTTGGGAGTTTACTAACACTTGTCTGTGAATTCGTTTTTAATGTTCTGTTTAACAATCTATAAGCCGTTGATGCAGTAACGCTGCTTCATGCCTGAATTATCGTGTTTTATACGTTTCGGCATTTGTCTCTCCTGTCATCCATGACAACGTGTGTCATTATCAAGCACATTACGTTAGACGTTGCAGTTTGACCACAACCTTATAGTTATACCATGCGTGGTCATCTGGTTGATCTTAACTACCACGTTTAGTCTAATCATATTAGACGAAAATAACCCTGGTTTG